TCCAGGTAGCTTTTTTTGGACTAGAAAACTGCCCTGCATTGCAAGCTGGAAGTGATGCTCAATAAGAGTGATCTGCCAGAGGAGCTCCTCATGGCCTGAGTGTTACTAATGGCAGGGGGGGCACATGGAGGCTCAAAAGCCTCTCAGCTTCTGCACTGAGTGAAGCACCAGTACCCCAACCCCGTAGTAAGGCAGTCTGGGGAGAAAAACAAAGTTGTGGCTTTTTTTTTTTCCTTTTGAAAGGTTGGTTTAACCCCAAAGCAGCCTACAGATGGGTGAGGAGGGTGCCGGCACCCAAACAGGAGAGGAGGCTGTGACACCCGACAGAAGTAGGGGAAGGAGGACTCCTTCGGCAGTAGCCAGTCTTTAAAACCATAAAAATTACCCTGCTGCTCACACCAGTTGTCCGTATGGTCCTGTATTTTCTCTGGCTGTGGCAATAGGATGATCACACTTAAGTGGTGCTGCAATTAAGCAGTAAGTGAGCAGGGTTTCAGTACACCTGAGCTGGCCTCGTAGCTTCCTGCTGCCAGGACTATTCCCACCTTATCCAGCACCCAATCAGGCTGGAAAATAGTCCTTTTTTCCTTAGTTGGATCCTTTTCTGTTGGGCTAGTGAGTTAGATCCGTTCATCAGAGGGGCTGACAAGGAAGGAAGAAATTCTTTCCTGTGAGGGTGGTGAGGCCCTGGAAGAAGTTGCCCAGAGAAGTTGTGGATGCCTCATCCCTGGAGGTGTTCAAGGTCAGGCTGGATGGGGCTTTGAGCAACCTGGTCTGGTGGAAGGTGTGGGAACTTGATGATCTTTAAGGTCCCTTCCAACCTGAACCATTCTATGATTCTATGATAAGCACCAGAGCCAGTGCAGAGGAGGGTCTGCAGAGCCCTAAGCTGGTGAGAGGAGCAGGACCTCCTCTGTCGGGGAGACAAGAGAGCTATTGCAGCAGCTCAAACGGTATTGCCGGCCCTGACCTAGATCTCCTGTGAAATGAAACCTGAATCTAATCATATTTTGTTCTATTTTTAACGAGAGCTATCCGGCAAGCTGCAGCAAGCAGAGTAGATTGAGACCCGTCATCGGGTGGGAGAAGCGTGAGAAAGAGCGAAGAGCTGCAGGAAGTGGGTGAAGCGGTTGAAGAAACGGTGCTCAGCCTTTCATCCTTTCTGTAGAGAGGCTGTGAGCTGGAGCACTGCAACACTCGGTGTTTGGAGGCCATGGCCACTCGTGGTCAATAAAGATTGCTTTTTTGGCACTTCTCCTGAAAGTAGCTTCATTAAATGCAATGCCTTGGCCAAATTTCTAATTGGGCAAATCCTTTCTGTCTTTCTCAGGGCCCCTGAAATATCGGCTGGGTAAAATGCTGGCTCCGTAGGAACAGAGGGCTTGCTAATGGCTGGGTAATTTGACCCCTTGGATGGGATTCTCATTGGAGGCCAATGTGTGGAGGTCAGCTGGCTCTGAAGGAGCTACTCTGATTTACACCTGCAAAGAGCTAGATCTTTATATTCTGCTGACGGCAGTGCCAGAATTACTGGGGGCAAGGTACAAAAAAAATAAGCAATTAGGGAATAAACTGGTCATTGAAAAGTTTGTTGGTTTTTTTTTTTTTTCTATTACCAGACAGTGGTTGGATCCTGCTCTGAAGGTTTATACCTGGTGGAAACCTCTGCCCTAACTCTCTGTATTTCTGCAGTGTATTGCTGTTGCGTTGGAACCCAGAGCAGGTGGCTCTCAGCCCAAAGTGAAGTCATAAGTTATTCCTTAGCTCTTATAGCTTGAAAAGCATTTTGGGATCATCTAAAGGCACTCTCTGCGGTGTATTTTGACAACCAGTGTATAAGTGATTTGTGCAAATAAAGCTTCCTGAGCATAATTTTTTTCATCCTTTTTTTTTCCTTCAGTAAAAAATGAACATTCCGCTAATACAGAACTTATTTTCTTGATTAGGAAACATGAGATAGTATCTTCATCTCTTCTTTGTCTCATGGCTTGTGGCCACAAGGGGCAACATCTTAGCCCAACTTCAGAATCCCTTTTTGTGCTGAGTGGAGTGTTTTGCTAAGGCTGCCTTTCTCTCAGGCTGGATTGCAAGTGTTTCATCTGCACCTCAAAGCTGAAGCCTCCTAACTTTGTCAGAGACAGACTTGCACTTAAGCCTCTCCCTTTTTTTTTCCCTTTAAGCATAAAATTATTTTCAATGGGATGAACAAAGTAACCTCAAATCAGACATGCATGAAGAAAAAATAAAGCCAGGATCTAAATATAGGGAATTGCAAATCTTTTCCCAGTCTTCCAGTCAGGGCTGCAAGTGGCTGTGACAAGAGGAGGAGGAGGATGTGGTTGTTCCCCCCTTATGGGACAACCTTGTGGGACACAGAGCACATGCCTCATTAGGCAACATGACTGGGTGTGTATGGATGCCTTCATCACATCCTCAGGGTAAATTCCAGACTTCCCTAGCCTGGATGCATGACTTCAGTCTGGGCGTGCTTACATTAAGGGGCTCCCTTGAGTACAGGCAAAGAGAGTTCTCTTTAGACCCTTGTCCATGCACACGTGATGTAGATATTATAAAATACACTATTCTGGGCTTATTTCTGAATCATTACCTCTTTTGGCTCTTCATACGCCCTTCTTTTCAGACCATCTCCATCTATAAGAAGCAGTGCCATTACCTCTTTTGGCTGTTCATACGCCCTTCCTTCAGACCATCTCCATCTATAAGAAGCAGTGTGGAAGCTACTTTGCTGATGTAGAAAATTGCTCCCAAATGGCATATGCCCTGGTATCTTTCTTTGCCACCCCTCTCCCAAGGTCAGGACTGAAACGAAGAACCTCCTCCGTGCCTGTGGAGGGGGAGCTGACCCACGGTTTGTTCAGCCTTCTGTAGCCCATGAGTAATTACCGCTTGACTTGTTGTGTTGGGTCAAGTGCGATGAGTGGCTGAGAATGCTCAGGGTGACCTGAGCTGTCAACCGTGTGAAGCTGTGTGCCAACGGGGATTGTGGATGTTGACATTTCTGGCTTTCCCTGGGGTTTGTGCACTGGCCTAGCGCTGTTCTGCCCCAGCCACAACCATTGTCTCCTCCTGCATCTTTGAACGGGATGTGGTAAGTCTTTTCCAAGTAGAAAAACCAGCACTGCACAGTAGTGAACAGTGGTAGTGTAAAAAATTCAGGGTAAGGGGACCCCACCAGCACAGCAAACACCCTTTCTCCATGTCTGCCCTTCTCTGTCCTCCCAAATTGTCCAGCTGGCATTTGCTGCGTGGCTGGGCAGGGTTATCTCCATTCCTTATGGTTGCCCCTTGGCTCAGCAAAGGTCATGGGTGCACGTTAGTATGAACAGCAGTGCTGGGGTAGCGTGTGGGGTAGCAGGAGAGGAATGAGTCCTGCTGCCATTTCCTGGCAAAGTAAAAAAAAAAAAAAAAAGTCTAAATTCAAAACCGACGAGCGCAAAAATGTTCATTGCAAAGAGAGCGTGAATCCGGAGACGTCTGCGAACGTGGTTGATTGCAGTCTGACTGACAACGTGAATTTAAAGATGACATTAATAGCAAAGCCTGGAATGAAAGTTTCACTGTATTTTACCACATGTTCCCGTTCCGGGTCACTCGCACCACTGCTGCAGTGCTGTCATCTGGATTGTATCTTCCATTCCGTGCCTGCCCCTACTTCTGTTTGGTTTTGTGGGGAAAGTTAAGCTGAAACAGGTCAGCTGTTTCTTACTAATCCCTCATCAACAAGATTTATCGTTGCTGTGGGCTGCCACAGGGATCAGAAATTAGGTGAGAGGGTCATGTTAGCATCATGGATGTGATTTCAGCTGTCATCATGAAAATCCCCTCACACTTGGATAAACTCTGGGTTATTGAAAAATGTAGTGTTTTACATGTTCAGCAGGGGAGCCATTAAATTTTTAGGTGACAAAGGTCAGACATGCAGAAAGGGAAAGCACTTTTTTTTTCTTTCTTTGCAACTTTTTCAAATAAAGGCTGTTGCTGGTTCGGAAGCGGCGCAGCAATGGATGGGTTTAGTAAGGAGGATCTAGCTACCACCACCACCATCCCTCTCCCCCAAAACTGTGCCTGGTGGTGTGGGGATAACTGTGGAAGAGTGAAGGAGGCAACCACAGCACTCACCAGGACTGGTGAGACTGGCAGCATCCGTAGGAGAATGATGGGCAGTGTCAGTAGGAGGAGGAGGATAAGGATGAAGACCCATGTCTCACTGCTACTCACTGCCTCTGAGTGATCACAGAAGTGTGCTGGGTTTCTGTGTCTTGAGCCTGGAGGTACCTGAGGGACGTGCAGCAGAGCTGACGTGCAGACTGCAATCCCAAAGGTGCTTTTCACGAGGACACTCGTGCAGCTTTTGTATTGGGTACCAGTACAAGGAGAGAGCAAGAGGAGGCAAGCTATTAATGTTGAAGAAGAATGAGAGAAAGTAGGTTAACACACGGAAGTCTGTGATGATGGTGGTTTAAGCTGCCAGTCTGATGCAATGGATGACAAACAGGTGCACGGTTAAATTTTACAGATTTTCTGCCTCTACTGAGGGTTCTCCAGCCTCCCACAGCTCTACAGCCCATGAGATTACGCATAAACCATCCCCACTATAAATGTGCCATCCAGCCTGGGGTCTGGCCAGAATTTCCCCTGCAATTTTCTCTCCCATCTCTTGCAAACACTATTCCAAATCCTGGAATTAAAAGCCGGGAGAGTCGCTCTCCTGTGCTTTCAGTGTTGTATGTGTACACTGAGAAGGAGGAGGTAACTGCTGGGATAAAATGTAGTTGGTAGATGGGATGGTAGAAGAGAAGCAACAGGTACGTGGGTAGAAACTCACAGAGAGTAGTAGGAACTGCAAGTGTGTGAGTGCAGTTTTAGGTGCAAGAATTACAAGGGCGAAAATGAGGAAGGCGGAATAGAGTGGGAGTGATTTTCCCAGAAGGTTGTGTAATTATTCATGAGGGACGATGCTGTAAGAAATCAATCATGACTATGTAGGAAGTTTTTATCTGTAGGATCCTTGTCTCTCTGCTTGCTGAAATTGGAAGGTATGAGGCAACAATTATATAACTAAAGATGCGACCATAACGACTGTGCAAAATGGAACCAAGTTAAAGTTGCAAGGCCATGTTGATCATCATTATTATGTAATTGAATATTTGAATGTATAAGAAAACGTCAACAGTTAAAGGCATTCTAAGGGCCTACTTGAAGAAAAAGGAGTTGGTTTCATGCAGGTAATTACTAACATGGCAACAGAATCAAACAAGACCGAGAAAGGAAAAAAAACCACATTAATGGGTATATAAATTGCATTAATTTTTAAAGTCACCCTAGTAACAAACAAAACTTATACTTGTAATGGAAACTAGATTTCTATAGACTCAAGTCAAAGTAAATCAAGTGAGTATAACTCTTTATCTTAGGATAAGGTTTTGTTATAGGTTAACATTAACATGTTAAGTGGTTGAGTTCACCATCCATGGAGGTATTTTAAAGACTTGTAGAGGTGGTACTGAGGGACAGAGTTTAGTGGTGGACTTGGCAGTGCTGGGTTAATGGTTGGACTCAATGGTCTTAACCGTCTTTTCCAGCCTAAACAATTCTATGATTCTATGATTTTCACAGGCACAGAAATGGCTTGGTTTTCAGAGATGGCTGTTGTCTTAGGGCTTTGAATCTGAATGCTTGATGGAATTCACCTTGCTTAATTTAGATACCTAGTAATAGACATTTTAAATTTAAGCTAATTGTCTTAGGCTAGCTCTAGAATCAGTGAAGAGAAATGGCATCTTCAGAGAGAAAGTAATTTCTTCCGTCTTGGATGCCAGTCTTACCCTCAGATGGCTTATCCTCAAAAGATGTCTATTCTTCTCCACTGCCTATAAAAGGAGCTTAAGGTAACTAAGACACGAATGATCTACTTTCAGGTGATTAAAGACATGAAATAAATCCCATCAGTCTTAGTATCTAATGTAAGGCATCCAAATTTGAAATCTGTAGCCATAATAGCTACTTGTAAGGCCATATCAAAACAAACTTTTGCAAATCATGCTCTGTGTACTCCAGTGGTTGGCTCTCGAGAAGGCTGGACCAAGCAGTGCAGACATAGACATATGCAACCAGGCTGTGGACCACATTGGCAGCAAGCGAAGAGTCAAACTCTGCTTTTGGAAGATTATGTGCCAGAAGGACTCTATGACCACAGTCTCCCATGGTCTGCCAAAGATGGCATCTATTTTCTTGGTTCACATATATTTCAGCTTAGTCTTGAATGAGTCACTTTGTCTTCAGGCGCTTCTTGGGATTTGTCTATAAACACGGGTTGGTTTGATTGTAATATTTCCCTTTCCAGACTCTGGACATCTTGTTTAATTGCCCTTTTCAAATTTTGAAGCTTTCCAGCTCAGACTCCAAATAGCCTAGATTGAATTCGGAGGTAGGGGATGAGTAACAAGAAATGTGCCAACAGGCTTTTTTTAACTTTCTTCCAAAAACCTTCTTGCTCTCCTTGCTTGAGATCATACAGCTGTCTGGGGAGGTGCCCTCTCTTACCCCTTCCTTCGTTACTTTTGTTCTTGGTGCCAGAATCAACCAGTTTCTGACAAGGTGGCTACGTTGTCAAGCAGTGATGTGGTGGCAGGCAGACGGGAAGAGCTGGTTAGACAAGAGAGGGATTGAGAATGTAGCCAGTCCCCAAAGGTGTCTGTGAGAGGGATTCCTGCTTTCCTGGTGCCTGTTGGCTTCTGGGCTCTTTACTTGTGCTCCAATGAACAGGATGACAGGCAAGTGTGCTCTCCCTTCTCCTGGGAGCATCCCCACATGCAGCAGGACCAGGAGGAAGCTGGTGGTGAAGAGGTTTCCATGGCTGTGACTGGGAGAGATGGGACCATCTGGGAAGCATGACCTCAGGGGTATCTTCTGGAATACATCCTGGTACCTTCTGACGTAGCTTCACCCTGTAGTAGTGTGCCTTCACCATGCTTTCTGCTCCTGGCCTAGAAGCTTCTGTACTTGTGAACCTGAACTTCTGTAACCAGCTTCTGAACTTGTGACCTCATTTGTGAGCTGGAAACAACCATGAGTCCCTCTGTTGGGCTCATGATCCCAAATAGCATGACAAACTAGCAGGTTTCTGTTGGATACAGAAACAGGGTTGTGACCACTACCGTGGGAATTGCCATCAGTTTGGAAATTGCTGTTGTTTTCAGTCATTTTATGAGGAATCTAGAAAAGACCTTCCTCCCTCCCCCGCAGTTCTCTTGAAAACAAAACCTCTTTTAGAGCACTAAGTAGAAAAGACCAATTCAAGGTAAGGCTAAGAGCTTGTGGGTCTTCAGGCCACGTAGTGCTGAGCGGCAGTTTACTTGCACAAAAATTCACCTTCTGTTATTGCACCTCTTCTTGGAGATGACTGATCACATCGATGGTTTCACTATTTTACTTTATAATTACAGATTCCTTTCACCTCATTTATTAAAAATCACTATGTGTCCCAGCAGGCCATCTTTTATGCAACGTCATAACAAATAGATACAATTAATTATGAGTCTTTAAATATATGTATGTCTATCGCAATGATTCTTGAAACATGAAACTTCAACATCTTAAAATTATTTTGCTGAATGAGATGACTCATTATGCCTGGGGAAAAAAGATCCTGTAATTTTGTTGTATATTCCTGTCATTAAGAAAATATTATGCTTCAAGCAGATGAGGACAGAAAAAATTGCAGACCCATTATTACTGGATAGTGGTAGCACAAAGAAGTGTGTTACATTTGCCTGCAGATATGTAAGTGTGCTTTAGCACCCACTTTTTTAAAAAAAAAAATAAAGGTATCAATTTAGAGGACAAAGTAGAGCCGTGGTTTGTAGAAGACAAGCCTGGACACACCAGTGTCTTCAATCCACTGCTTCCATGTCTGTGTACCCCATTTGCTCTGCGGGCTGACCTTGGACAGACCGCTCCGCTGGGTCATCCACGGGTTCTGCAGCTTTTGGTGCATTTTTTGTGGGCGCTGGCGTATTCCCAAGGGGAGAGGAGATGTTTTGTGTGGGCGTTGGCAGGTTTTCGGGGGTTGCTGGCAGGCTTTCCCTGGGGCTTGGCCCCATCCCAGTGGGCACTGGCACGCTCTGGGGAGGCACTGGCCCACTTTCTGTGGGTGTTGGCACCCTTTCTGGGAGCTCGGGCACGCTCTCGGTGGGCTTTGGCAGGCTCTCGGTGGGCGTTGAGTTTCCAGTGGGTGCTGGCAGGCTCCCAGTGGCCACTGGTGGGCTCCCAGTGGTTGCTGGTGGGCTCGTGCTGGGCTGCTCACAGCCATTCCCAGCCTCTGGCTGTGGGGTGAGAGGTGAGGAAAGCTCTGGCACCAGGGTGGCATTGCACGTTTGAGCCCCACAGGTCTCCAGATTGTCTCTGCTGGTGCTTGGGAGGGATTCCTCCACCTTGTGGGACATCCTGAAGGCTTCGGCCAGCTCCTTCAGCATGCTCTCGTCGGCAGCGCGCAGCTCGATGCCCGCCTGCTCAGAGGAGGAAGGACCTGCATCAGCATCCTCTTCTTCCTCTAAGATGCTGTTTCCATTCACCTCTTCAGGGAACTGTGCTTGCTTTATTTTTTTGTACAGTTCATTCCTCTCCTCCTGCAGAGCCCGGCAAAGGTTCTCTAGCCTCTGGATTTTCAGCGCGAAGCACTCATATTCCTTGGACCTCAAGGCTTTCTGTGGTCAAAGACATCAGACAAAGGTGCCGGAGTGAGTGTGGGTGCACACAATTAATTGCTGGAACTGACAATTAGGAAGCAATTTGACATCTAGGCAGCCCTCAGGACTCTGCCAGGTAGCTGGCTTTCACCAACTGCTCTACAGTAACTGTGGTCTTTTGTACTGGAGTTTCAAGAGGAAATTTAACAAGAGTAACAAGTATACTCTTGTTACTGTAGTATATTAACATTCTCCATAGAGATTCAGATCAATTTCCCTCAAAAATATTTGCAGGGATACCTGTTGATGATCTGTAGAGATGGAAGACATAGTGGATGTCTATAAAGATAAGCTTCCAAAAACCTACCTGGCCTTCTGGTGAGCATGGGTGTGAATTTTGGGGAAAATGAGCTGTATTATATTTTTCTTTTGTTTATTTTGCTTCTAGGCTCCATGAGAGCAGCCTGAACTGGAACATTTTCTTGCTTCTACACCCAGTGAGGAAACCAGAGATACGGAAACCCGTAGAAATACCAATAGCACAGAGCTACAAAGCTAACCAAAAAGCCCTGGTCCAAGGGCAATGTGAGTTTAGGGTGAAACTTCAGGCAGCCTCTTATCTCATTTGAATGAGTTCCAACACGCTTATGAATTTCCTCTGCAATGCCCCTGTGACAGCATATTTGAAACTATGGTGACCCACAGCCGCTTGCTTTTGGCTCTTAGAGTTTGCCTACGCAGGAAGTCAACAAAAGGCATGAATTTAAAGTTCATTAGCTAGAGCACATTAATTCCCTGGGTGGATGCTCTTATGTAGAAAGAAAGTAGCGTGAAGTGAACTAATGCCAATTTCCTTCTATGGGAGAGCATTAACAATCACACATTTTTAGAGCACTTAAAATTCACAGTTACATAATTCAGTTTCTCGTGGACGTAATGAATGTCTCTGCACAATCTAAAAGTCCTAGAATTTGGGGGGTTTGTCTTTTTTCTTTTTTTTTAAAGACATCTAATTATCAAGATGGCTTGAAAAAAAGACCTTTTGATTCAAGAACAATTTTTTTATTGACTTTTGCTGGTTTCAAGTCATCTCGTCTCCTTGTTAAAGCCTTATGTGGGGGAAGAGGTGCATCCTGAGACAAAAAAAGACCACTCACCTCTTCAATCATGTCCAGTAACGCTCTGTTGCAGTTCTCAAACCTGGATTTCCAGGTAGCGGTATCCTTTTCCAACTTCTTTATTTTCTTTGTCATCTACAGAAGCAGGAGGAAAAGCTGAATCACACCAGGAATTTCATGCTGCAGATTAAATTAGGGCAGCCCTTTTATTTAGGTCTTTGGCTGTACTGATGACGCTGCTACCAGCGGCTCTAGTGGCTCTGCTAAGTAATAATTTATGTTAAAGGCTGCATTTGGTTTTAAGTAGCTGCCATATAACTTTCAGCCTCCAGCCTGTACTCATAAAGTTGATTACGTGTGCAGAAGTACAGACAGCTCCCAGAGTACAAACTGTCACAGAAACAAAAGGCAAAGAAAAGATGACATTATTCTGTTTATCTCTTTACAAAGACCACAGTGTTGTGTTGCTGGGAAGTTAAAGACGGGCTTGTATCTTCTGAGTCAGCACCGTCAAGGAAGTTCCCCCTGGATTAGTCACCTCTATACCTCCCCCAACACACAGTGCTAGCTGTAGAGCACCATCTTCCCCTTTGGTTTTCTGCTAGCTGAACCCCGTGTAGATCACTAGAGGTTGCTTAGATCAGAGCACCAGGATTTTTGGGCCCTAGTGGCAGAGCAGAACACTGTTTATTATAAAAGCAGGTGTGTTTGGTTTTTGATTCCCATTCATTACAGGAAATAAGCACACCAGCTGCAAGGGGACAGCCACTTAGGCTTAACGATGGGAAGGTGGTGGGCTTCAGCTCTGCCCACACACGCCAGCGGGAAGACTTGTAGCCTCTGTCAATCTTTCTGTACCAGTGTCAGTCATGCAGAGGACTCTCCTGGAGACACGGGCTGATAAATCCAGCTCCAGACTCCCCCTTTGGTATCTCTGAGGTTTCTCTACCCAAACACCACATTAAGTTCTAGGTAAATTGTTTGTTCTTCAAGGCAATTTCAGTTTTAGCTGAAAGGAAGAATTCAGCTCGAGGTGCTGAAGTCTAAGCTGCTGTCAGCTGTGGCCAAGTGTGCCCCAGATCTTACTTGGATGTTGATTAAATTGTTCTCCAAAATGTGCAGCACTGTCCCCATCCCAGATAAAGTTATTGCAGTGAGAAATATAAAAATCTAAAAGGAGAGTCTCAAGCAGGGAGTTCAGGTATGAGCTGCTACTCACTTTCTCCATCTCCTGTTTGAATGTGGCAAACACTTCATTGCTTTTGGTCAGTGTTTTCTGAAATTCTTCAAACCTTTCGGAGTAGAGCGTGATCTGCATTAACAGGGGAAAAAAAAACCCCACAGTAATTTCAGTCTGCAGGATGGTGAACTTCTACTTTGGAAGAAGATAATAAAATAAGCATTGTGTTTGGACATGGAAATTAGATTCTGTTTGGAGACCGTAAAGCACAAACATCAGGGAACTGAAACACTCTGAATCTTTTAAAGATGGCAAACTATTATGATTCCCCTGTTGCAGAAAGGTAAACTGAGGAAGAATAGAAAGACCCAGGCCAGTCACTTTAAAAAGACATGGGAATTATGAGTGCCATATTCTCCTGAATGTTGCAACTATGGTGTCTCTATACAGGGTGCCCAGAAGCGAAAGAATTCCCTAAAAGTGGAGACTTCTGAAAACATTTCCCTAGGTAACTCCATGGAGATTTCAAGAGGACAGCATTAAAGCCTACAAAGATGTCCAGTCCCTGCCTTTCCTCACAAGCCCTGTATACTTCTTTTCTATATACCATTGTGGCTGACACCTACAGGAAAGGACTCCTAGGATGACCTACAGAATGGAAAATGGTGAAGTGATCCCTGGGCCACCTCTTTGGGCAGGGACTGACCTAAGTTGGTCCAACCACTGATGCTGTGCAGGACCAGGCAGTGAGATTAAGCCAAGGGGAGAGCCAGCGTGGTCAGAACTGTGCCTGAGCTCTAAGCCTTGCTTGGGCATTGCCAAACCCCAACTTTAACCTGAGGGATAAACTCTGGCAGGCTTTCATGGAGCTCAGTACATCCCAGCTGCCCAGCTGTTTACTTGCCTTCTTGATTACTCAACAAGCTGGGAGCTGGGTGCTTTGGGTGCTCAGGCTGTGGCCAGGAGCTGCACCAGGCAGAACTTGATGTGCTTTACTGGTCTCCACCGCCGAAGAGGAGCATCACTGCTCCCTCCTGTGATTCTATGGTTCCTGTGTTATCTGGCACTCGGGGCAGCCCCATCACTGGGCAAAGGCCACCCTTCGCTTCACTCCACCGTGACCTGGAGTCCTTCAAGCTGCATCCCAGCATCCTGGCTGGAGAGAGCTGAGAAGGCACCTTGTCAGCTCTGCTTTGTAGCCTATGTGTGGACTGCAGCTGCGGGCAAGGTCGGCAAAGGCAGAGAAAAGAATGCCCTGCCAGCCTCTTCTGCCAGCTTCACTTCACTTCGTGATGCAGAGCAGAAGAAGGATCTGTTGCAGCCTGTCAGCTTTTAAGACTATTAGGGCTCCATATTTTGCTCCATATCAGTTTACACCTGGTAGCCACGAGAAAGTCCATCTGTGGCTGCAGTTTGTCAGTAAGACATATTCTTATATCTAAAATCTGTGGATGCCTTTTGAAAAAAAAATTCTAAAGATCTGAGGTTAATTTTTATGTAAGAATATCTCGGTTTCTGCTTTTTCTCTCTTTTTTTTTTTTTTTTCTGGGTGGAAAAAAGCACTTTCAAAGCTCCAAAATCATGCAGAATGCTACAGAGATAAAGCACCGTTGTCTTCTCTTGGGAAAAGAAGACCAGCTCCAACTCAGCCGTTTCCTTCTGGAGCCAGAGCACCCCCAGCAGTGTTTAGGTGATCGGACATTTCATCCATCCAGCCTGATGGCTCTCATAAGGAAAAGAGATATTGGCATAGGGCATAGTGGCTGAGGTGGGGTGGCAGCAGGGCAATGGGAAGCTCTAAGCCTTGCTTGGGCATTGCCAAACCCCAACTTTAACCTGAGGGATAAACTCTGGCAGGCTTTCATGGAGCTCAGTACATCCCAGCTGCCCAGCTGTTTACTTGCCTTCTTGATTACTCAACAAGCTGGGAGCTGGGTGCTTTGGGTGCTCAGGCTGTGGCCAGGAGCTGCACCAGGCAGCACTTGATGTGCTTTACTGGTCTCCACCGTTGAAGAGGAGCATCACTGCTCCCTCCTATGATTCCTGTGTTATCTGGCACTCGGGATAGCCCTAGCACTGGGCAAAGGCCACCCTTCGCTTCACACCACCGTGACCTGGAGTCCTTCAAGCTGCATCCCAGCATCCTGGCTGGAGAGAGCTGAGAAGGCACCTTGTCAGCTCTGCTTTGTAGCCTATGTGTGGACTGCAGCTGCGGGCAAGGTCAGCAAAGGCAGAGAAAAGAATCCCCTGCCAGCCTCTTCTGCCAGCTTCACTTCACTTCGTGATGCAGAGCAGAAGAAGGATCTGTTGCAGTCTGTCAGCTTTTAAGAATATTAGGTCTCCATATTTTACTCCATATCAGTTTACACCTGGTAGCCACGAGGAAGACCATCTGTGGCTGCAGTTTGTCAGTAAGACTTATTCTTATATCTAAAATCTGTGAATGCTTCTTGAAAAAAAATTCTAAAGATCTGAGGTTAATTTTTATGTAAGAATATCTCGGTTTCTGCTTTTTCTCTCTTTTTTTTTTTTTTTTTCTGGGTGGAAAAAAGCACTTTCAAAGCTCCAAAATCATGCAGAATGCTACAGAGATAAAGCACCGTTGTCTTCTCTTGGGAAAAGAAGACCAGCTCCAACTCAGCCGTTTCCTTCTGGAGCCAGAGCACCCCCAGCAGTGTTTAGGTGATCGGACATTTCATCCGTCCAGCCTGGTGGATCTCATAAAGAAAAGAGATATTGGCATAGGGCATAGTGGCTGAGGTGGGGTGGCAGCAGGGCAATGGGAGGTTCAGGAGCAGCCTGCAGGATTCAGGCATCTGTCTGGAGGCTGGTTGCCCTCTCTGCACTGCCAGGGAGCTGGCTAAATGATTAGCTGGGAGCTTTTATTCTGTGTGGTGCCAGCCAACATGCACCCTCCCCTGACACTACTCTTCAGTTACTGAGGAAAAGAAGATTTAGAAAACATTGCTAGTAGCAGGATGGATTTAATATGGTTATATTATGATTCGTGTTCAATCCCAGCATCCTGGCTGGAGAGAGCTGAGAAGGCACCTTGTCAGCTCTGCTTTGTAGCCTATGTGTGGACTGCAGCTGCGGGCAAGGTCGGCAAAGGCAGAGAAAAGAATGCCCTGCCAGCCTCTTCTGCCAGCTTCACTTCACTTCGTGATGCAGAGCAGAAGAAGGATCTGTTGCAGTCTGTCAGCTTTTAAGAATATTAGGTCTCCATATTTTACTCCATATCAGTTTACACCTGGTAGCCACGAGGAAGACCATCTGTGGCTGCAGTTTGTCAGTAAGACTTATTCTTATATCTAAAATCTGTGAATGCTTCTTGAAAAAAAATTCTAAAGATCTGAGGTTAATTTTTATGTAAGAATATATCGGTTTCTGCTTTTTCTCTCTCTTTTTTTTTTTTTTTTACAGAGATAAAGCACCGTTGTCTTCTCTTGGGAAAAGAAGACCAGCTCCAACTCAGCCGTTTCCTTCTGGAGCCAGAGCACCCCCAGCAGTGTTTAGGTGATCGGACATTTCATCCATCCAGCCTGATGGCTCTCATAAAGAAAAGAGATATTGGCATAGGGCATAGTGGCTGAGGTGGGGTGGCAGCAGGGCAATGGGAGGTTCAGGAGCAGCCTGCAGGATTCAGGCATCTGTCTGGAGGCTGGTTGCCCTCTCTGCACTGCCAGGGAGCTGGCTAAATGATTAGCTGGGAGCTTTTATTCTGTGTGGTGCCAGCCAACATGCACCCTCCCCTGACACTACTCTTCAGTTACTGAGGAAAAGAAGATTTAGAAAATGTTGCTACTAGCAGGATGGATTTAATATGGTTATATTATGATTCGTGTTCATTCTGGTTAGTTGCTATGATGCCCCTTAGAAAATGTAGTCCTCATCCCAGGAAAAAAGGACATGGACCTGTTGGAGCAGGTCCAGAGGAGGCCATAAAGATGATGAGAGGGCTGGAGCACCTCTCCTGTGAAGACAGGCTGAGGGAGCTGGGGTTCCTCAGCCTGGAGAAAAGGAGGCTCCGGGGAGACCTTCTAGCAGCCTTCCAATATCTGAAGGGAGCCTACAGGAGAGATGGAGAGGGACTCCTTGTCAGGGAGTGTAGTGACAGGACAAGGGGTAATGGTTTTAAATTGGAAGAGGGGAGATTTAGATTAGATCTCAGGAAGAAATTCTTTCCTGTGAGGGTGGTGAGACACTGGAAGAGGTTGCCCAGAGAAGCTGTGGCTGCCCCATCCCTGGAGGGGTTCAAGGCCAGGCTGGATGGGGCTTGGAGCAACCTGGTCTGGTGGGAGGTGTCCCTGCCCAGGGCAGGGGGTTGGAACTCAATGATCTTTAAGGTCCCTTACAACTCAAACCATTCTATGATTCTATGAAAATGCCTCAATTCTCTGTCTCTGCTTTTCCCTTCCAATGCTTCAATTCTCTGTCTCTGCTTTTCCCTTCCAACTTCTGCCTATTATTTAATTAGATTAAAAATCTTTCACATTTGAACAAGGTAAGCTCTGATCTCAGCTGGGGCCCTAGGCAGTGCCACAGCACCAAGAATAGCTTCTGCAATTTAAATTTGAATAATAAATGAATGTTTTCATAGTGGCTGGGAACAGGCTGTGGGTGCTGTCTCCCACCAGCAGCATGTACTCATGTTCCTCAGTTCTGGAGACGAGGACCCCCTTGCTGCTGCCTACCAGTGTGGGCAGGGAGAGTGGAAGCACAACTGATGCCAGGCTAGAACTTAAAAGTGCAAGGATTCTGGAAATGAGGGCATCTCGCCATCGCCACGCCATATGGTAAGGACACCCCTTCAGCCCTGTTACGTTCTCCTCAGATGCTGTAGCCCAATGGTTGCACCATGCCAGCTACTAAAAATCAAAGGCCTCAGTTGACTTGAATCTTCTGACTTTGTTTCCAAGCATGGACCTAAAAAAGTCTGCCTAAACAACATGCCTGGGGAGGGTGTGCAGTGTCTTGGGGAGCACCACCGCAGCTTGGGTGTGTTCTCTCAGCTGGTGCCAGATCCCTGTCACCATTTGGAGATGCAGATTGGGCCATCTCAGGCACACTGTGCCACCCAGAGACAGGCTGGCACGAAGCTGATGTCCCCTGATTCCTGCCAGCTCAAGAAAGCAATGGGGGCTCATCACCTCCTCTAAAACGTGTCTCACATGGTATAGCAGGCAGTGAGGCCTATATTACGGCTTCTCCTTGTCTCATTGACCAATATCTTCTCATAATGTCTTCTGTTAATATCTATTTGTTGTTTTGTGCGGTTTACATCAAGAAACTCTTCCTGCTCTTTCTGTTCTGGGCTTGCACAATGCCTTGCACCATGGCATCTGGTCCATGAGGGGAGGCCCTTCAGTGCTACCATACTGCTACCACCACTACTACTAACAACAACAGCAGCAATGGTATTGTTCCCAGTAATTCCAAATGGAGAGTGCTGTGTAAGGGACAGAGCTCTCACACTTGAGCAGAATACCCAACTGCATGTTTCATTTCAGCAAGTGAATCACTTAATTTTCTTCTACACAAGGCTGTGAGGGGCACATGCATTATCAGTGCCTTTGCAGGCTTGTTTGACTGGATTTTTCAAAAAAGTTTTACTGTTTCAAATGTATGCTTAATATAACCTAGCTTTTATTAATACCTTCAGTTTCATTAAACTGGCTACCAAGGTCTGGCTGGGCGCACAACTCTTTCTGGTCGAGCATAAAAGTTTAATTAAAACCACTCAGAGAAAATTGGGAGCAGGTTTGCAGTTGGGACAGGCTCAGCTGGAGGCCTTTGAGGTTTGATTGCAAAACCTGTCAAACTGGTGTCAGCAACTGTTTATGTGATATTCTTAGCCTTTGAAGAAACACTTGAAGGACCAAACCCCTCTTAGTGTGCTTCCAAGTTACCGGTTTAATGCCAGCCTTTCTTGACTCCTCAACAGGTAGGAATTAGATCATCCACAAGGGCAGAGCTGGGACAACTCACCAGTATGATTAACTGTGAATATGGGCTGGGGAGGGGACTTCTTGATGGGTGAGGAGATGGGCAGCTGCAGAAGGACTGACACCCTCCACCAAAGCTCTGCTTGGGGGGACCTTTCTCACAGACAGGTCGAAGAAGATAAATCTGCATGACTGTTTCTGTAAGTCTAGGAAAATCTACCGATGCTGTCTCTTTTTGATGTGGAAGTTCCAGCATGTCATCTAGTGTTCTCACTCGTATTCAAGGTCCATTACTGCATTGCTCTCAAAGCACAGTATATACTGCCTGCTTGTTCTTGTTACTGCCTTTCTCTCCAGACTGACTCTTAGTGTAATTTTGGCAAGCAATTTTATTTTATTGAATGTTTCAAATTCCAACTAAACACTGAAATCCTAGAGACCCCTTTGTATAAGCCCTTAGTAGGCAGAAATCCTGCTAAAGTTAATGAGAACACTGCCTTCACATCCCAGTCCACAAAAGCACGTGAGGACCTGGATATTAGGAAAAATTTTTTCACTGAAAGAGTTATCAGCCATTGGAATGGGCTGCCCAGGGAGGTGGTTGAGGCACCATCCCTGGAGGTGTTCAAAAGACGGGTTGATGTAGTGCTGGGAGGTATGGTTTAGTGATGGTGTTGCTTTTTGTTTGTTGTGCGGGTGTCTATTTTTGTCAAAGTTAGGTTGATGGTTTGAAAAGGTGATCTTTAAGGTCCCTTCCAACCTAGAAGATTCTGTGATTCTGTGACTTCAGCTCCAGTTTGCTAAACATGTGTTGTGGTATGTATGTGTTCCCATGCTTTGCTGGGTTAGAAACTGGCCTGAAGGGTAGTTATGGTGAATAATTAAGCCAAGGCACACATTGTTGTGTGGTTGAATATTGTGAATACTCATAAATCATAGTAGCATAGAATGGTTTGGGTTGGGAGGGACTTTTAAAGATCATCTAGTCCCACCCCCTTGCCTTGGGCAGAGACATCTTTCACTACATCAGGTTGCTCAAAGCCCTGTCCAACCTGACCTTGAATGTTTCCAATGATGGAGCATCTACAACTTCTCTGGGCAACCTGTTCCAGTGTCCCACCACCCCGACAGTAAAGAATTTCTTCCTTATATCCAATCTGAATCTATCCTCTTTTAGGTTAAAACTATTACTCCTTGGCCTGTAACTACAGGCCCTGGTAAAAAAGGTTGTCTCCATCTTTCCCTTTAAGTCCTGAAAAGCAACACACAAGAAGGTCTCCCCGGAGCCTTTCTTCTCCAGGCTAAACACCCTACATGCCATGGTATGATCTGCAGTATGGGCATTACCTTACAGTTTAGTTTGAATACTTTATCCAGAACATGCCTCATGGGTTAGAAACTGGGACACAAAAACACACCATGCAACCGCCTCCCCTACATCACCTGTGCCTGCAGGACAGTCTCTTGCTCCTTCAACATTTTGGCCTGGAGCTTCCATTCTGCAGCTTGGTTCAGGAGCTGTGTTTTGGGCAACAGAGAGAAAATTGTTAGGTGCCTAGTTTATCAGTTAGAAAGCCTTACCCTCCAGCTACCTGTGCTTCTGCCATTGCTATCTTGATAAAGAGTGATCTAGCTTTCAGGTGAATGTAGTTAGAGCAGTCAGGCAAGACAGAGTATTTAGTGCTATCCAGGGATGTGGGATGGGCCATTTGGTTTGCAAAGGCATACCTGATCAGGAGTTCAGAACCTACTTGGAAGTAAGTGTGGAGTACAGCCAGCTCTAAAAAGTGTGGTATTTCACCATATCTTCGCTAGATTTCTAGGGAGTCCTTATGATACTTTCTGGCATTTTCATTTCAGTACAGCTCCATCCAAATTCCTGCTCTCCAGTGAATGGCAAACTCCCTTTTGCTTTAATGATCAGGACTGAGCATGAGGTATGGCCACAGTCAGGCGTGCCTCAAAAAAATCTGTAAGCTTTCAGGAAGGCAATGCATGGTAAATGTCAAACGTTTACTAGTGTCTGTTATCTTCGGGCTCCATCTGCATTGATGTGCCATCAGCAGAGGATCCCATCCTGGGGTGATAAATGCCTCACTCACATCAAGGAGGCAGCCTGGAAAGAGCTTGATGGCAACTTCATCCCAGGCTGCTCCCGGGGAGATGCGATTCCCTACTTCGAGGTGTTCCCCAAAATGACATTCTGAGGTCTGGCTGCAGACGGGAGGGTTTGGTGGAGGTTGAATGAATTGTAGGAATGAGGTGGACGGAGATTTTTCCAGGCTGCAGTTCTGAGTCTGCACTTCCAAAGTGTGTGGTAATATTCCAGCAATTGGTTTAATCTGAAGGCAGGAAACACTTACTCAAGTGTTAAAAAAAATGTGCTTACGGCCTACCAAACACTTATAAAACATTTCACTGGTTAGGCCAAATATATTTTAGAAAAAGAATGCTAATGATAGGTTGAAAAATGACATATAAACAAGTTAGTTCACTACAGGACTTTTTTTTCTGTTGGATTAAATTCTACTGTTTAAAATAGCACAGTTGGGCTCTGAAAATATATTGAAAATAAAAGTACTGTGTAAGTCCATAGATCTTACTCTCATATTGGAAGTGAGAGGTGAGTAGAACCATGTGCAGAAAATGTATTTGATCCCTAGTAAAAACTTTTATTCGAACCATTTTGTTGGAAATAACACATGTAAACTACTTGAATACCACCTGGCAAAGAGCTGAAGATGTAGCCCACAAAAGCTGATTGAACAACATAATGAATTCCCTCCCTGTCTCCAGCTATTCATGGCACAAAGACCATCTGAATTAGACTTTGACTTTTTGCCCACATACATACATATATATATATGTAAGATCTAGAAAAATATTTCTTCCATCAGTTTGCCCTTTTGATTTGGATCCACTGAATTCTTACCATCTACAATTTCCTAGGCAAGAATGTTTTACAGCTCAGCTCAAGTCTGCATTGTACGAAGAAATACCGTGTTCTGTTTGTTTTATTCCTGCCTCTTAGTATTTATTTTGATGTTTGGTTCAATGGATATTAGTCAAATTCGTGACTTTAGATCTTGTTGACTAAAATTTCAAGGAGGTTGTGTCATAGCCAGTAAAAAGAGATGGTGTGAGTAGGCCTAGGTTAAATGAGCCTCAGTTCATGCATTTGTTTTCTTGGAAGAGGTATGTTCTATACACACAAAAATAATTAATTTTTAAAAGTTTGGATGAAATCTGGATTTTTAAGTTTCGTGTTTCTTCAACATCTACTTGTTTAGGTTTGGGGGTTTCTTTTTAGGAATTATAGGGTGAATGATTTAAGAAATCATGTGAATGATTTAAATCATGTGAATGATTTAAGAAAAAGTTCTTTGGAAATCTTCAGAGCTCCCCAGTCTCTAGGCCAGTCATCATTTCCAAGAACTGGGCTTTTGTCTGTACTGCTTAAATCTCAGCTAGAGTTACCTTTGTACCCACTGTGCCTGGGACAATGAAAAGGTCCCACCTCCCGCGCCATGTCTTCTGCCACAGCATAAGAGATGGACGGAGGATGCTGCTTCTTTTGCCTGTTAATAAAATCCTTCTTCTCTCCTACTGACCCACATAGCTTCTGCAGCCAGTAAAAATCTGAGAGTTAATAAACTCTTCCGTAGTGGAAGCAAGCCACAGAGAGCTTTGCTCAAATTAGCACGCGGTTTTATGCAGCCTGAGGTCATCTGCAAACACCAAGCTGGGAGAAAACGAATCAGGAGGACTGATACATTTATTAATAGGCTATGAAGTGGTAACAAGGAGGGTGAAGTATAAAGAAATGAATAAATATTGCATGTGGTGTTTACAAAGCAGCACTTCAGTGGAGTGTGGTGATGTTATACCGTATTATTAGAGCTGTGAGAGCTGCTGGAGGCCCAGACAGTCACATCGTGCTTAGGAGTAAAAAAGCCAGCCCCCAAGAACATTCATTCCCATTTAATGACATGGATCTAGGGACTGACTTAATGAAAATTAAGCTCCCCTTTTTGCTGCCAGACTCTGCAAATTCCAATTACGTAGAAATCTGATCAATACCTTCCAGTCATATACTTGAAAGCCACAGAGGCTTTAAACTGCAATTAATTGCACATCAAAGTTTGTATTACAAGTGCTAAAAATACAAGGTATGGGGGGGAAGTTCAAGTAGCACTGACCAGTTATGTGATGATAGTAAAATTACATCCTTAGGTGAAGTTGACCCTTTGGGAAGGCCACACAGTTTGAACCATTGCTCCTTATAGGGAGCACTTATAGAGTATCACTTTCTTAGTTGCACGTGTTGGTTGAATTGTACCAGCAATGACATGACCTGCCCACTGAGATGCGGTGTACAGAGGCTGCAGGAGGGGACACCTCTCCTTGCCTGAGATAAAGAAGTTTTGTACAGGGCAAAGATTCCTACATGGAAGAACTCCATAGGAAGACATCAAAGTGAGCCTTCGAGGAGTAATCGAATTGATAAAAGAATATAAAAACAATAAATTTAAAGCCATTTTCAAAATCCTGCTGCAAAAGTCATGCACAGGGATGTAAAAAATGGTATGGAGAGAATCAACATATAGTTCTGAAAGCCTTTCCCTCAAATGACAGGATGTTGGAATGCAGCACTGCTCTGACTTTGCACATTGCTGAGCTGGAGAGAGATACAGGCAAAGGAGAGGACTCCATCAAAACCACCTTGATTTCATACGTGCTTATATATACACTACTCCCACAGACACTAGCACAATAGTTGTGGGTGGGTGGGACTAAGCACTCAGTAGGCCTGAGGTGGGAGACGAGTGTGGGCCAGCAAGCTGGGTGCTGGGCTACCTGTGATGAATCACGACGTGCTAATTGTGCCTTGACTCACTGCATGGCTTTTATCTGGTCACCTAAGTTCTTCAGCTCAGTCTACCTCGCTCTGAGGTGATGTTAGCAATACAGCACCAGCCTACTTCCAAGGCAGGAGTTTTAAGCATTAGTTTGGACGGTGTGAGAAATATTCTTCGCACACGGTGCATATCATTATACACCCACTTCCTAAGGGCTTTGTAGCTTGGTTTCAAAACCTGTTATTTCATAGGTGCTAGTCACACGCACAGCAAAGCCACAAAGAAAATCTCCCACTCCCAAATGTAGACAGCGATGACTTTCGCTGCTTTGAAAGGAATGAAAATAACAAACCCGTGCATATCAGTTCTGGATAAAACACACAAAGAAGGTCTGGCTAGAAACAGGGCCACTCACAGGCAAGAGGCAGCCCCAAAACTCATGTTCTGTGAGGCACAGCAAGAAAGGTCATTGATATAAGGCTACATATGTTCAGTTTTCCACAGAGCCAATACCCTGTCTTTCACATCTTGTTCTTTTTTTTTTTTTTTCCTTTTCTTTTTCAGTATCTGAAATCTGGTACTTGGTAGCGAAACTCACAGTGAATGCAGTAAAGTGAGCCCAAATTTGCTTTGTCGTTGTAAGGGATTTCTTGGCAGTGTTTCCTGGGGTTTGAATCTGCCAAGAATTAGCTGTCATGAATGAAATTTTGGGGTTTTGGCTTTATGTGGGCCTCACAGTGAAAGGGAATAACTCAGCTGGACCACAAATTGTCATGCAGTGACATGCAGAGGTGCACACGGAGAGGCCCCAGCTCCTCTTCCCCCTCAGTCCTTTGCTGGGAGTGCAGCTGAGCAGGAGAGGCTGTCCCACCACTGGATCGGTGCAGAGAAAGAGGATAAATGCTCTTCTGGGCAATTTTTGGTAAGAGGTGTTTGTGGAAACACGCAGAGGTCTGTGTTTCCCTCGTGCTCTATCCACAGGGCTTAGAGCCCTGCATTTTCATCCATATTTTATGATACTTTGACCAGGCTTGTGCTAATGTATCTGCTTCCAGGTACGGGGAGGGGATAAATATCATATCTTTAGAGCTCTCTCATTCTGCCTCTAAGGTAGCTGGGGGGCTGGTGAAAACCAAAGCTTTCTTCCAGCTGATGAGAGCCTGTCACTCCCCTTGAGTAATCTCAGCTGCTGCCACTGCAGTGAAGAGGGATGAGATGTCAGCTTTGAACCCCCATCCTTTTTGGGTGTTAGGATTGCTGTGAAACTGCCAGGCAGCCTGAGAAAATTAATTTTGGTCTGATTGAGTTGCAAATGTACAAGACCAGGGAGGAGTGCCCTCCTCCCATCCCAGCTGTGCCTGTGGGGGGACATCCCTCTTGCTCTTTGCTGTCCCCCTGCTAGGGGTGTCCCCTCAGCCAGGTTGGGAGGAACGGCAGAGGAGGATGTTGAATGGCCCCAGACCCTTCCTGCCTCAGAGAGGCCCTGGTAGACCAACCTGGGGAGGGGAACCTCTGCAAAAGAGAAAAGGAGGCTCCATCACAGCAAGCAGCCCCTGTGGCCTCCTCTGCTGGCAAAACCGGCCCCACAGGAGGATGTCTGGGGAGGCTCTGAGCCTGGGGGGATACCGGTCTTCTTTAATCCTATGTTCCTGCTCTCTCTGACTGCTTAAATGTGCTCATTTATCATGTGAGGAGACGGAGTATCAAATATCTGAGCTGTTTGAAAACCAATGGCATCACCTGCCCTGACGTCAGGATGAATCAACTGTGAGGGAGCTCAGAGCAGCCTGTGCTCGAGCCTCCTGCTCTGCAGTTTGCCTCAAAAGCTGTAAATGCCAATGAAAGCAGCCTTTCAGGGGCTGTTCCTTTACATCAAGCATTGACAGTAGCAATAAAAATGTCTCTGCTACCGCACCCCAGCTCGGACCTGAAGAATCAATATATTAGTGAAACAGCATGCGGGGCTCGTTTTGACCTAAAGTTAGATAAAAGAGATATTAGAAGGATAGGTACGTATTCCTTTTCTTTCTGGTGTCGCTCCTCGGCTTCCTTCATCATTTCCTGCGACTGCTCCAACTTGGCGTCCACCAGCTTCTGCTGAAGTTCTCTGTGCTTAAATATTTTATCAAGGTGCTGCAAGAAAATTGAATTCTGCTGAATGCACAGGTTTGATGGCGTACAAAGACCTTCATGCTCATGCATGTACAGCGATCCCCTGGAACACTTGTGGGACAAAAACATTGTGAAGCAGGAAGACACCCAACCTACTGTAACGACTGAAAAACTCCAGTGCTGACAAGAACAGAATGTGCCAGAATTTTCATGTGAAGGGAAACCTGTTTCTGTTATCTATTTTGATTTATTATAACAAAAAAAAAGAATTCAAAAAAAGGGCTTTAGCATCTTTGCCAGTTCTATGGTCTACATATAAAGTCATCCAGTATAACTGCTGATCAAATAATTGCTCATCAATAATAAATATACAGGGGGACACAATTTTTTGGAGCTGTTAAGTGGCCGGCAGGTCTGAGACACTGTGAAGATAAATGTGTAAAGGTACATTGCGCCTGCAGTACTTGGGAGCATGAGCACAGCTCGTGGCATCCTCTCTATAAACACAAGCTCCCTGCAGCCCTTTGGCACAACGTGGGTTTGGGTGAAAGCACGTGAGGAGGGACCTGGATTAGATGAGACCAGATGAACCAGACGTAAATCATCTGACTCCATGGTGACCTTCTGGAGGTAAATGTTGCCGAGAGCCCCCTTCACTCCTGCTTCATCTAGATAAAATTCAGAGGAGTGAATATTCTGAATACATGCCTCTGCTTTACGTTATCTTCTCATAGAAACCACAAGACAGGAACGTACATTTCCTCCGCTCAGCATAAGACCTCGTACAGGATGTGACAGATTTGGAAGTGCATGTGTCGTATCGGGCCTTCCAGATTGCAAGGACAGATTACTTATGTTTTATTCAGTATGATAATGCTGCCTGGTTGCACTGAGGCTCACAATATACGCATTTAGAAACCATATAAAGACCCATTGTGATATTTGTTAGCGTTTGTCATAAAATTAAAAAAAAAAGGGGGGGGGGGAGTTTGGGATTTTACTGGAGGGGGTTTTTATGTCAGAATTTTATGACCAACTCTAATGTTTACAAAAAGAATCATTTCCCATCTGTCTATTATCTGCTAGATCTTATGGTCAGCACTGTGCCTGCAAAGAAGGATCTATTCCAATGCAAAGAAGGGCCTCCTTTATCTGTCCTCTTCATGTTCTGCTTCTGCAGAAGGGTCAAAGCACTTACTTCAGAAGTTTGGGATTTTACTGGAGGGTTTTTTTGTGTCAGAATTTTATGACCAACTCTAATGTTTACAAAAAGAATCATTTCCCATCTGTCTATTATCTGCTAGATCTTATGGTCAGCACTGTGCCTGCAAAGAAGGATCTATTCCAATGCAAAGAAGGGCCTCCTTTATCTGTCCTCTTCATGTTCTGCTTCTGCAGAAGGGTCAAAGCACTTACTTCAGAGCAGCCTGTGTCTGGAGGGAAAAAAAGTATATTTTCTGTCACCAGCGGGGCGGACTGCCCAAAAAGATGAGAGCTGGGAGGTGCTCGGTGGGGACTTGGGGTGGGGTGGGAAAAGGAAAGGGGTGCTGGGGGGCTCCCTGGGGATTTGTGGGAGCTGTGTGGAGGCCAGGGGGCAGATTGGGACAGCAGCTGGCACATCTGACGCTGCACAAAAAGATGGGAGCTGGGAGGTGCTTGGTGGGGACTTGGGGTGCGGTGGGGAGGGAAGGAAAGGGGTGCTGGGGGGCTCCCTGGGGATTTGGGGGAGCTGTTCTGAGGCCAGGGGGCAGATTGGGACAGCAGCTGGCACATCTGGCTGCTCAGGCTCCTCAACCCCTCTCCCCAGGTGGCTGGCACAACTCCTTGCCCATAGAATTTGCCAGGTGGAGTCTGGTGGGCTCGCTGCATACATGGTGGGGTGCTACCCCACCGTGCATGTAGTGGGGGCTACCCTTGTTATCTCCTCTGGACACCCCAAACAACAGCTGATGGGGAGGACAGGTTGGCCACGTTCTCTGCATTCCCCCCAAGGTGCTGCTCTCACCTCTTCCCGCAGCTCGTACTGGTCGATGATGCTCTGGAGCTTCTCCGCCAGCTCCGTGTTCTCCTGGCAGAGCTTCATGTTCCTCTCTCCTTGCTGCTCGATCTGAGCCTGGATTTCACTCAGCGTGCCCTGGAAATGATTAGCTATTTCTTTCCTCTTCTCCTCTTCCTCCCGTGCCCGCTGAATTGTTTCCTCCTGTTGTTAAATGGGAGAGAACGGTGTCATGTTAAGAGAGATGCATAATAAGTGGTTCCAGAGTGATACTGTTTCAGAGTAGCATAAGGCTTCCCTTTGAAGGATTATACGTGTTTGCATTCCTCTTTGGAGATTTTCTTGCTTTCATCTGCTCCAGCATTAGGCATGATTCTAAATTTACAGAGCAAATTACACAGTGGCCTTGAAAAAAAAAATTAGGGAAGTAAGAATTTGCATTTACAAAGATGGATGTAAAGCAGAGTTTCAGATCAAAGCAAGCATGGAAAAGGGGACACACACGCATGTCTTGTTTCATGATACTGCAGCACAGCTTTTGCTTTGGAAGAAGAATTTAGTGGAAGTAGTCAAAAGCTCTTTAATTGAAATTCTTTTTGATCGAATTAAAAAATCACCCTTTAAAATGCCTCCTTTTAACTAGGAATCCTCATATCAAATTTATAGTCTTTGGGACTTTCATTTTCAAAAGAAATCCATCACTTTCTGCAGAATCCCTCCCAATTCCTCAATTTTCCTTCCCTAATTTTTTAACTTATGTCAACATTTGCACTGATTTATTAGGTAGAAGGAGAGCCTGTGGGCTGCTTCTTACAGAATCAAAACAGAGAACCAGAATTTTGCCTGGAGAAAGATTGATGGACTTTATTTATTGGTTTTTTTTCTACCATTACTGCAATTCTGGTTTGGATTTGTTTATGTAAAAGACAATGCAGAAAGAATCTGGATTAATTTCTTTGGATCCAGAAATATGGACTGTTTTGATTCCCTACTCCTTTGCTTCCAGGGCAGTCTGCCCTTCTGGGGAACGTAATCCTGATGTACAGTGCCTAGGACCAGATCTGCTGTAGTTACAAACCATGCCAGAACCACCTCAAGAACCCACTCCACAGCATGCAAATGGCATACTCTAATAAGGTTTCAACTAGCATAGTAATTTACATAAAAATCTCTGATAACACTGCATATGGATATTTTCTATAAATACACTTGAATAAAGCCTTAGCTGACTCTAATGAGGTATAATTTATTTCATGAATGTGACATAAAAGGTGTTGATTCAGACCTTGCTCTTAAAGTAAGATGAATACCAAATGACCCAATTTCTACTCAGCAGGCACACCATGAGCCTGATTTTGGACAACTGCTGTTTAAGGTAGGGGATGTTTGTCCTTCTGCTGACCGAGGAGTCACAGAGATGACAAAGCCTTGGGTGGTGGGAGGAAAGTCTTGCAGCCATTAGTGCTAATAATACCATAGTGCACAGAAATCACCACGAAGCCCTGCTGTTTACACAAGAACACATGCGTGCACTCACAAATGCAGTAAAGAAAAGCGTGAGCCCAGAAGAGGAAAGCCCCCTCTTAAAAGGAAAAGAGAATTACAGATGGAGCTGGGCCAATATCTTGGGGGGGTCCTGGTTCCATACCTGGGTTGGAAATTGGACACATGAAAAATTTGCAGCAAGATGAAAGAAAAGCTCTATAATTATATATTTTTTATTTGGTGAGAATGGTTTTGAATTAGCCTGAAACATTTTGCTTGACGAGACACTGAGCTGTGTTCTGTTTGTACTTACTTTTTGTTTAACTCTTTTTAGGATAATTTTGAAACAGGAATGCTCTTCCAAAGGAGAGTTTAAAATGCTACTCAGAAAGTGTTTTAGATCAACTGCTTTCGTATTCCTAAAATGAAACATTCCATTTTCTTTTGAAAGGGGATGTTTACAAGCAATGTCATCCTTTTTATTTTTGTTCGAAACTTTGCCAAATTTAACTTGAATGCCTAGCTAGTTTGGGTCAAGTCAGAACTCCATTTTATCTTTAACAGACTGTTTTAAAAACTGCTCATGCCTCTTTGCTCTCCATTGTAGAGTTGTAACGCTGTGCAGGGAGAAGAGTCACTTAAGAAGTCAAAGACAGAGTGAGAAATTGAACTTACATGTCTGGACTCCTATTTATATAGCTTCGAAACATCCTTCCTCAAAAATACTTTATTGTTTCAGTGGCCCAAATGGTGTTATAACATATCACTGCTGTGATTTATAGCTCTCTGGAGTAATAAATCCAGCTGAATATAAAACAAAAAAAACCCCAGTGGCTTGTGCATCAGTCACACTGCACAGTTCTGTTGCAAGGTGAAATGAGACATCCTGAGAGTACCAATCATGAAAATGGAAAAAAAAATTCAAAAAATCCTGTGTTACTCAGAGGATCTTATTTTCTGCTCATCCTCTATTCAGAGGTAGAATAATTATACAGAGCACAGAGACAACACAAAGATTCATGGATAAAGACACCGAGCCAAGGAAGCATTTAGTTGCAGGGCATGGTATTTCTCTTCTGCTTCGGAGAAAAACATATTTGAGGAGGATATTTGCCTGAGAAGGGGGGGGAGCTGGGGTGTGTCCCAGGGAGCTCCTCAGAGTCCCTCATAAAATGGCAGTGATTTGTTAAATCCTTGAGATAGTGATGGGTCTTTGGAAGTGTCTGCTTTGAACCCAAGCCTTTACTAGCTGTAAAAGCCCATGGCTGAAGCTGCACCAGCCCTGGAGCCAGGGAGGTTGCTGGGTGCCCATGGTGCCACCAGCAGAACCTGTCAGGTTCTGCCTGGGGGCTGTGGGACCAGCTTCCCTTCACCCATCTTGCCTGGTCAGGCACAGTCTGGTAAACCCCAAACCATTGGCATCACCCAGGTTTTATTATCACAAGCCCCAGCTCTTTGTTTATACCTGTGCCTGTAACCTGAGAAAATGCACTTTTTTCCAAAAGATTCCTTAGTCCTTCCCATTTTAAGACCCCCAAGGTGTAAAGTGAGATCCTTAATTTTTCCCCCCAACTGGAGGCTTGAAGACTGACTTCTGTTTTGTGTTACTGCTGTTGCAGCTGAAGTAGGCGACTGGAGTCCAGAGCTCCTGGCTTGCTTGGTTGTAGGGAGCAGAGCAGAGGGTGTTTGGGGTGGTGACTTCTCAGCATCATCAAGGTGAATTCATAACATGGAAACCATGCTTGACCTTGTCAGCTGCCTCAATCTATACTTATTCTTTTAATAAGCATGGGGAGACCTTATTGCTCTCTACAACTCCCTGAAAGGAGGGTGTAGAGAGGTGGGGGTCGGTCTCTTCTCCCAAGTCACAGGCGACAGGACGAGAGGAAATGGCCTCAAGTTGCGCCAGGGGAGGTTCAGGCTGGATATTAGGAAAAAATTTTTCACTGAAAGGGTTATCAGCCATTGGAATGGGCTGCCCAGGGAGGTGGTTGAGGCACCATCCCTGGAGGTGTTCAAAAGACAGGTTGATGTAGTGCTGGGAGGTATGGTTTAGTGATGATGCTCCTTGTTTGTTGTGTGAGTGTCTATTTTTGTCAAAGTTAGGTTGATGGTTGGACAAGATGATCTTTAAGGTCCCTTCCAACCTAGAAGATTCTGTGATTCTGTAATAGTTTTAAGTGTTCGGTTTTAGTGAGAAAAACAAAGCATCGTAAATTGTTTTTAGATTTCCATTTGTGGAAGACTAAAGTCCAGACAGAAAATATTGTTCCTTTTCCTCTGCCCTTTCCTAAATCTTTGTGCTTCATATCGACTCTATCAAAGATATATTCTCGCTGTCCTACTGCAATCCCGCTGTCACTCTCATGATTTACTGCTAAAAATGTAAGAACGCACAGAATGAAGACTTGTGAAATTAAGACAAGGATATTTGGCAGTTTGGGATTTATCACTGGATAATTTGCAAGGGCGGGATTGTCTCTGGTCCTTGTCCTTCTCTGGGGTGACTCCAGAAGACTGTGGGTGTGCTGAAGTCCTATCAGCCGAGCGAGGACTCCTCATTTTCAATGAACCATTCTCTTCATTCCCAGGCACCACGGTCTGAGCCAATTTGGAGCCGAGCCCATACTCGAAGCTGTTGACTTTGTATGAAAGTCATTGCTTAACGCCTGGTAGAGGGAAGGACAAGGGACCTGAGACGTTCATGTCACTACAAGCCGCTAAGTAGCCACCAAGCTGTCAGGATAATTGGCAGAACACGAACACCACGCAGAGAAGTGAGTTGCTGTTGGTCTTAGCAGAGCTGCTCTCCGTTGCAGTGGGAGCACGTTCTGCTATTTCACGAGCATTTATTCTGCTTTTCTTGGAGGGAGAACTAAACATCTGTTTTCTGCCGTGAAGTACAACTGCAAGGAAATAATCTGAATAGCTTGGACTGTGAGTGAGTCAGATTTTGAGGCTGGTATCCAATACTAACCAGAAATTTCTCTTCCCTGACCTGCCCTGTGGATTTTCAGCGCGGCTCCGTGTTGCATATTCATCACCACTTGGCTGCACCCATCTCCAATTAATGGGAATTCCACATACCAGATGAGTGAAGATGACATTTACATGACGTGATGCGCATATAATGTACCACATGGTAACTCAGAGGAGGTTCATGATCTGGACAGGCCAGGTTTCTCCTTTGCTATTGAAATGACACAATTTCCTACAGTTTTTTTTTTTTTTTTTTTTTTTTCCACGCTTTGGGACATAATCAGAAGTGTTAATCCCAAGTGCTAAAAAATTATGAATCAGCTTCTCTGTCCTGCCAAAACCAAAATAAAAATTACTTAAGCAGGAGATTTTAAAAGTAACATTTGATAGATTCTCCTGCTTCGGTCCCCCTTAGTACAGTCATAAGCAGAAGCAAATTGCACTCATTTAAATAAATAGAAGATGAGATTGTGGAGATTCACAGTTCTCCAGGAGCTAAATCTTAAAGGCAAATATCCCAAGAATTATGTTAAAACTCTTAGAGAGACAAAACCAGATCAAGATATTGAATGCCTTTATTAATTTAATCTTCATTCATTCTGCGAGTGTATTTTTTCTTACTGTCTTATTTAACTTTGGTTTTTTTACACTGAAAGTGCAGGAACCAGAGGAAAGCTGGTATTCTGGGTTTCTTAAAAAGTCTCCAGATTCTTAGAAAGAAAAATCTGAACACTTCTTCCTACTACAAGATCAGCTCAGGCACCTTTCCTGGCTCACCTGGCACAGGTAGAGGATAAAAATCAGAATTGAGTCTGAAATTGATAGGTTTATCTAGGAAACCTTGTCCCAGAGTAAAACATTCCAACAAGTGGAAAGATGTCGGAAAGAGACTTTCCTAAATGTAAAGATTCAATGTGTAACAAAGTATTTATATGCTCTCTGATAGTGAGATTAATAAGCATATGGGAGCTGGGAAATAATGTGAGGAATTCGACAATACCTGTTCCAAAAATGTTTTCCAAATATAATTAGTTTTTCTCTACACCCCAGCTTTCACTGATTTGTTCCGCTGATATGATTTGTTTGTTTTAGAAATCTCAGTTAAATCTTTGTGAAGCCCTGTACGCTGTACTCTTAAATCACTTGAAAATTGGCTCGTATTTCTGCTGAAAGATTTTGCCCGGTAAATCAGTGTGGATCAATATCGAGGCATATAGCTTAGGTCTGGTACAAATGACAGGCAAATTTAATTGGTTCTACCAGTTTTGAGCTGCAGCATCCAGAGATTTGCTTCTAGTTTTCCTAATTAGCTGTTAAACTGCTTTTGTCCTTCCACTAGTGCTCAATTTGAGCATATAGGTGGCTGTTCCCCCTCCCAGAGATATTCTCACCAAAATGCAACAAAAGTCAGAGCCAGACCCTGAAGGCCCCACTCTTGAGCTGGGGAAAATTAATGAAAATCCATTACAGTTAGTAGAGGTTATAGCAGGTGAAGTTCTTGCTGCTGAGAATTCCTATCTGTAATTCTATACATAGCTATATCCCCATAAAGAAGGATTTCAAATAGATCAGAGCAGACTTTTTGTATAATAATAACATCACCATCACTAACATGTCCTCAGAAAAAAAAAAAAAAAAGGAAGATCACAACAGAAATATATGTCTTGAACCTAAAATTTTTCAAAAAGCATTAATCATATTATAAATTTCACATTTAAATGGTGTGATGCACCAAGCAATAGGCAGACATGGCATATGGATCCCCGCCTTTTGACGCTCCTGAAAATTTCCTTCTTGAACCCTTTTGACTCTCATAATCCAAACGACTCCCACAAACAGCGTTGGCATTCTTCCTGTCTTGAGGTTTGACATCTTGAGGCAAATATCCTGAATTGCTAACCCTCACAGATCACGTGAAAATGCCCAAATGCTCAAATTATGTGAAAACACCTGGAGCAAAGCTGGTGTTCCTATTCTCCTGTCCATGCAGATGTATTCCCATCTGCAGTCTCAGGGACCTGAGCTGTTGGTGCCACTGGTTTTCTCTGTGCTGAGCTCCCCGATAACACAAAGAGAGGGCTTACAACTAATGTGGGCAAACTCAATGTCCAAGAGCACTCGGATATTTCCAAACGAGGAATAATTATGCATTGCACGTGCAGATGCAAATGCCTCTTTGATTTGGAGCCAGAGCAAGACGGGGAGGCATCGGTCATTAGGAGAGGGTTCTTCACTGTGAGGGTGGTGGAGCACTGGAACAGGTTGCCCAGGGAGGTGGTTGAGGCCCCTTCCCTGGAGATATTCAAGGTGAGGCTCGACCAGGCCCTGGGCAACCTGGTCTAGTTGGGGGTGTCCCTGCTGACTGCGGGGACGTCAGACTAGATGGCCTTTGGAGGTCCCTTCCGGCCTGGGCAATTCTATGATTCTATGATTCTATGATCTTCTTCCCACCTATGGGTACCTTGGTAAGGCCACCACTCACCTTGAGGTTCTTGTTGTGCCTCTGGAGCTCCCGGCAGAGGCTCTCGAGCTTGCTGCGGGCAAGGATGGCTCGGCTGTGCTCGCTCTGCAGCTGGTCCTTCTCCTTGGTGATCTGGGCCTGCCTCTTCTGCAGGTACTTGAGCTTTTTCTGCTCGGCACGATGTTCTTCGTGCTGGGCAGGGAACAGGGATTAAAATAAAAGAAAGAGGGACAGGGAAAAAAGAGAATTAGCACTTTTGGTTTGGGGAAAGTCATCACAATTTCTTAACCTCTTAGGAAATGTTTTATGTTTATCAGCACCAATGGGAGAGGTGTGAGCGACCTGGAGGGAGTGCCAAGCTTTCTTGCTGCAACAGTCCCAAGTGTGCTGTGGTGTGGATGGGTGAACATAATTTTTAATCCTCTTGTCACACCATTTCAGCCCTTCCTTCTCTGGTTTGAATTTCTTTGAAGGGCAGCTGTGAGGTTTTTATTTTTGTTTCAGTGTTGGGAAGTAGAGCAGCCGGTAGCGCTTTACATGGTGAGATTTCTCCAGATCATGAGATAATGCAATAGCTGCTCATTCTGTTTTGCAGCTTCCTGAAAAAGAAACGGCTTCCTAGATACCTAGGAACCTGCTGGAAAAAACAGCAGCAAAAGAATCACTGGAGACCAGGGATGCTGTCTGTGTGGGGGCTTTGCTGCTGGTGGAGGAGAATGCTCTTCAGGGAAGAATTGCCTAAACCAATAATTGGGCACCTCCTCTTGCTCGTGAGTGCACATGGGGCCACCCATCAGTTGTGTTTCTGGAGGTCCCATCATCAATGGGGGTGGGTGGCAGGGAATCAAACCTTTTTTTGGCTCTTCATCTCCATGTAATTATTGACTAACATATGGACAGTCCCTGATGTTCACTTGGGAACTTCTCTAGAGGGATGGTGGTGAGGAGGGTGTATTTGGAGGGGGGGGAGGATGAAGGGCAACCAAAGAATTGCGAATAGCAGTCCCTACACAAACTGGTCATTTCTTCTGACACCTACCTATTAATGGCTGCTTTGAAAAAAATTCCTGCACTGCAAATTAGCACCGTAACAGAGGTGTCAATGAAGCATTTCACCTCTGAAGCTTTTAAAGATTTCACCTCCCCTTCCAACACCCAGCAGCCCTCCCCTCCTCGCTGTACCACGGGCGTGCATATATTGCAAAATATTACTGAAGACCAGATGTTTTCTGCTTGAAAAACAGCAGCATGTGAGCTGCAATGTGCAAACCTTAATAATAATAGCTGTTTTTATTCCTAGATTATCTAATAATATGGTACCACTAGTATTAATTATTAACCCCAGTATGATTGGGAAAGTTGGTGAGTGCAAGGGAATGATGTGCAGCTCAAACAAGGCAGTCAACAGGCATCATATTTTACACTTTCTCTGCCCGAGGATCTGTTTTCTGCAGATGTTCTGTAATTTATGCCTACAGTAGAGAGCTCTATGTATTATCAGTCAAGTCACAGCCAGGCATACCACAAAACAATGCAATCACCAGCTTGGAGTATATTTACAGTTTATGCCCAAATTTCAGCATGTGGATTGTGTGTTTTTACCCCAGCAGATCAAAATAGGGGCTTTTGCATCAATCAAGCTGCACTCTCTTAAATAATTTTTCTAGTATTGTAGGGGAAAAAATAGCCTCTCTGTAATTAAGGCTGAGATTTATTTTCCTTTATAAGCTTGATTTTGGCCCCTTCCCCTTCCCTCTTAAAAACACAAAAAAGGTTCTTTTTGCTTTACATTTTGCATGCACAGCCTGTGCTGAGCGGATAATGATTTATCCAAATTTTAGATGATTCAACTCAATCTGTGCTTGAGATGGGGGACTTAGAATAAAATAGGTCTTAATTGTGATATAAGAAGTCTTACAAGCTTTTTGCTCTTTCTTTTTTTTTCCATAAAAATGACTTGTGCTAAAAACTTATATTTCAAAGTTCTCAGGGATGTCTAAGACATGGTGTTATTTTTGCACCGAAGAAGGGAATTTACTGGTAAATAGGAATGACAAAAGGGCTGCCAATGATAAATTTTTATGATTAGTTAATAAGATATTAGCTAAAATCAACTACAAATAGAAGGAATTATGGTTTTGGAAGGCTGCCCTAGAGAGACAAACTCTCAATTTAGGAAAAAAAAATGTTTTATCTTGACCCCACTGCAGACAATGGCAATACTTATATTTATTTACTAGTGTATAGCTCTTGCACCCAGCACTTGTGACACCCTCAGGACCTCTAAATACAAACTGGTCACAAGCAATTCTGCAACAGGTGTTTGTAGTCAAAAGCTGAAGTAAAGCACAGTCTGCTTTACTAACCCAAATCACTCTGTCTACACCAGTATTAGTGAATATGTTCTTTGATTGCAAGTAGCATGGCACGGTTTGTGCCCAAATGCCTATGCTGCCTTGGTTCCACATCTCCACAGGCTTCCTTCACACCAGCCCATGCCCTTAGACTCATAGAATCATAGAATGTGTTGGGTTGGAAGGGACCTTTAAAGGTCCCTCTTCCCTGATGCCTTCTGTTTCCTGGTGTACTCATCACCATGGACTGTCCCAGGGCATGTTCTAACAGTTAAATAGCGTATAGATGGCTGTGGGGAAGTGCTGGTGCTCCATAGGGTCCCCAACCGGCTCCATACAGGCAACCTCTTAAGATGGAGCCAGCAGCAGATCTATCTGATGGAGCTGAAGACATCGCCAGCCCCCAGCTCAACTTGGAGTCTGGCTGCACCTTCCCCTGAGCCGTGCTGCAGCAAGTCCTTGTGTCACCCAGGGAGATGATCTGGCTGGAAAAAACAACTCAGCAAAAGCAAAAAGTGACCTAAGTGTGTGACTGGGGATGGACAAGAGGGAGCAGAGAGAGTGGTGACTGCTACTGCTGGTTGCTGACAGGCTATTCATCACGCTACACCCCTCAGCCCTGCTTTGCTCCAACGAGCTTTTGGTTGTATTTATTCAATGATTTATTTTAGTGACATCGCCCAGGGTGTCAAAAACGAAGGCTCAGTGTTTGGGTTTTAGCACATTTTGTCCTGCATGGGTTGCTGGAGATATGGACCCCTGTTCTATACAGTGGTCCCATGAGCTGTCCAGATCACGAACCTCCTGTGGGTTACCATGTGGTACACTACAGAGGAAGAAGACCTATTCCAGTTAAGTCTTGGGCATGAAGTCCCTTTAAGCATGAGCTAAACAGCCTGAGGCCAATTTATGAAATCAGAGGATTTTACATGAAAAAAAAAAAAGGAAAGCTGAATTTCACATTAGGATGAGACATGGACACATCTGTGCATAAAGCCAATTACAAAGTCAATGTTCTGCTTGGCACATTTTTCAGCGCTCCACAAACTGTAAAATGCTGCAGCCTTTTCATTTGCAAGATTTCCCCAGCTTATGGCCATACAGCCCTTTAACTACTTAGAAGAAAACACTTCACCCCAAAATAACCCATCAAAAGTATGGAAAGAACAGAGCCAGGAAGCTGGCTTTGTTACAGGGGTAACGTTATGGTGCCAGGGGCTTCGACTCTTCATTTCACTGTGCTGTGGTGTCTCTCACAATTAGCCTCAGCACTCTGTTTTCTGATTTTCTGCTTCCTAACATTTTATACTAAGCCCTGTATTATTTTCATTTGGATTAAATCACTGACACATAACTTAAAGCAGCGCTCACATACAGAGGTGTGCAAAACTCCACGCAGAAGGGAAAGGTGGGAGCCCAGACACTAGTCCCCAGTGTGGGTCAGATTGGTAGATTTGCCTTTAAGTACAAATATTCTGCCTCTTCAGCTTTTTAATTCAAAGTCCAGCTTGTTTTCCTCACTTTTTACTTCTTTTCTCCTTCTCACCCATAATTGATTATTTAACCCTGGCAATTATTTTAGGATTCACTTATCCGGAAGGACACTATGGTGACATGAGGTTTGACCGTGCTGCATGGTCATATGCTTTTTATACCTTCCTATACAGACAGTTTGCACAGAAGACAACCAATGCTCTACTAACCAGTTCAGCATACTTCTTAAATAACAGGTCCATCTTCTCCTCTGGAGTATTCAGCTTGTTCAAGCTTTGCACCAGTAGGGTGGCTTCCTTCCCTTGAAAAAGAAAAAGAAGCAGAGATTTGATGGTAGATGTAGTTTGTAACTGATGTGCTGCTGTGAAATGGACATTAGGAAAAAATTCTTCACAGAAAGAGTGGTCAGACACTGGAATAGGCTGCCCGGGGAGGTGGTTGAGCCACCATCCCTGGCTGTGTTTAAGAGTCGTTTAGATGCGGTGTTGGGGGATATGGTGTAGGGGAGAACTTTGTAGAGTAGAGTTGATGGTTGGACTCCATGATCCCAAGGGTCTCTTCCAACCTGAATGTTGGTTGGTTGGTTGATGCATGGATCTGTAAAAACTCTGGGAGAAATGAGGCATTTTGGATGGAAGAGAATAACTTTTTCTATGAATTTCTGTGTTTTCCTTCTCCCTGTAAGAACAAACATGCTTGAATTTTCCTCCATTTCAGACCTCAGGAATGTGCTGTCTTCTAGCAAAAGCATTAGCTGTGAAATGCTTTTTTCCTGTATAATTTGATTTTCCTTTAATGTTTTTGCAACATGACTGGGTCACATATATAATACATTTAATCGAAATAGGATGGAAAGGGCCTGAACCTTGAGGACTCAGAAGCCGAAGCTCTTTGCAAGTGAAAACTGATCAAAACTGGTGTAAACCATCAGAGAGCAGTGGGTACTGCCAGCCAAGTCTGGGCAACACGATTGTGGTGTAAATCAGTTCCCTGACTTGGTGAAGAGAGTATGGATACCAGAGACAAAGCATTCACAGTCTAGTAACTATCTGGGCGTGCGTAGCTAATTCACTGTGTAGCTCTTTATGTATTGCTTCTCTTCTGATACCTCCTGGCATTTATGTCAGCCCTGAGTATGAGCTGGAGCTTGAACAATGTTTGTTCATGGAATACAAAATGTCCCTGGCATCCCTGGAGATAAGGATGGCTGCGGTGCCAGGGGCTTGGCTGTGCTTTTCCAAATGCTCCGCTTTCCCGAGGCTGTGAGACCAAATTTGCTTTCTGCTTTAGGCTGGACTTTTTCTACTGCAAGTCTAGTGCAGTCCGGCAGTGATGCCTGCAGGGAAAATCCACTATTTCACATTAAGCGAATTCTCTCTACAACACTAGTACAAATATGTTGAAGAGAGCCAAAATCAAATCCTGGAGTGAAAATTGTTGCAACTGCAGCTGAAGAACTGTGCTTTGGTAGGGTTTTCATAGAATCGTCTAGGTTGGAAGGGATCGCTACGATCATCTAGTCCAACCATCAACCTAACTCTGATTAAAAAACAAAAGAAAACTATACACACACCCCCACACATCCTCCCATCACTAAACTATGTCTCTAAGCACTACGTCAACCCATCTTTTGAAAATCTCTAGAGATAGTGCCTCGACCACTTCCCTGGGCAGCCCATTCCTAATAATGTTTAATAACCCTTTCAGTGTAAAAATTTTTCCTAATATCCAATCTGAAATCATCGACCAGTCACCTCAGGACCCAACTCCTCCACACACCCCCCCATCACTAAACTATGTCTCTAAGCACTATGTCAACCCATCTTTTGAAAATCTCTAGGGATAGTGCCTCCACCACTTCCCTGGGCAGCCCATTCCTAATAATGTTTAATAACCCTTTCAGTGTAAAAATTTTTCCTAATATCCAATCTGAAATCATTGACCTGTCACCTCAGGACCCACAGAGGTATCTCATCAAGTCCCATGAATTTGTATCCTGGTTATTTCACTGGTCTTGGAGACATACCAATAACTGCGCCAAAGCTGAGGCAATAGAAACTGAGGAACTTTCTTTCTCCTGGAAGTTCAAGGAATTGTGGAGGAAAATATCCCCTGTCTGTCCTCTGTTCAGTCCCTTGTCTGTAAGCATGTCCTGCAGTGATTTTTCTACAGGCTTAGCCCACGGTTGGGTTTGGGTTCTCATGCAAAGGAGGGGCTTGAAGATTGGCGGGAGTTAAGTGTAGGAAGGGAAATAAATTACATGTTGGGATTGCAGGTTGGGATGGGACTACATTGCTCTCTAGTGGCTGCCCAGCAGAAAGGACATATTTTGTAAAGACTTAGATAAAATCAGTGTATGGGCTTATTTCATACAGTCTGTGATAAGCCTGGAGGTCTGCTAGATGAAAAATAACCTGGGCATGATGGTGAATTTGTTCTGCAGATTCCCACTCCACATAGTAGCCCCATTAACACTATTGTGACCGCTGAGAACTCATACCTGAGGAAGCAGGGGAGGAAAAAGATTTACTGAGGCACAAAGGAGAGGCCAGGTTCTCCTTTGGCCAAGCAGCAACTTTCCGCAGTGTGTCGTCAGACTCACAGCTTTGTGTGGCCCAATAGTACATCAGGATTGTGTGATATAATCCTAAACTTTTGTCTTTTTAGAAGAACTAATACCTGATACAGCCTACTTGTATCGGTCAGGTAATTGCTGAAAAGAATTGTCAGTGAAATTAAAGTTGTAACAGTCACCGTAAATTTTAGTGATAACTAGAGATCCCTGTCATCCACGGCAGAGGCTTAACTTGGGAGAGAGGGAGGACCATCTCCTCAAGATATCGAGGTGCTGGAGCGAGTGCAGAGGAGGGCAACGAAACTAGTGAAGGGCCTGGAAGACAAATCATATGAAGAGCGGCTGAAGGAGCTGGGGCTGTTTAGTTTGAGGAAGAGGAGGGTGAGGGGAGACCTCATCACTCTCTACAACTACTTGAAAGGACACTGTAGAGAGGTTGGGGCTGGTCTCTTCTCACAGGTAATTAACGACAGAACGAGAGGGAACGGCTTCAAGCTCCAACAGGGTAGGTTTAGACTGAACATTAGGAAGGAATTTTTCACAGAGAGAGTGGTCGGGCATTGGAATAGGCTGCCCAGGGAGGGGGTTGAGTCACCATCCCTGGATGTGTTTAAAGGACGTTTAGATGAAGTACTGAGGGATATGGTGTAGGGGAGAACTTTGTAGAGTAGGGTAGATGGTTGGACTTGATGATCCCAAGGGTCTCTTCCAACCTGAATGATTCTATGATTCTATGACCAGGGAGGTTTCACTTCTGTTCACAGAAGAGCTGTGTAAGTACATAAGTACTTAGGGAGGTTTCACTTCTGTTAACAGAAGAGCTGTGTAAGTACATAAGTACTTGCCTAGTCCCTTCAGGAGCTTCTTCTCCAGCTTTTGCTCCTTGCTGCCGCCGGGCTCCTTTGCTCTGGAAGCATCCCCAGATGCCAGCTTCTCTTTCTCACCCTCCTCAGTTGGATCTTCATACTCCGCATCCTCCACGCTGCCCGACTCTCCCTTCTCCGCCCTGTCGGTTCCTGTAGCAGCACTTTCCTTCTCCATCAGGCTGGCTGCAGACCCGTAGGTTTTAATAATGTCCTCCAGCTGCCTGCTCAGCTCCTCGGAGATGTCACACACGGCTGCTTCGGGTTGGGGGCTTGGCTGCTCCACGGGGGCTGGAGTTGTGGGCTGCGAGCTGGGGACAGGATTGTCCCCACTCTGCCCCTGGATGTCCTGCCCGGGCGAGGTGGGAGACTGGTTGTTCTCCATGCTTGGTGCAGTACCTGACAGCAAACAAATGGAGGGTTAATGTAAAAGCACACGAAATTAGTCTTCTAACTGTTCCCAGAGCTCAGCCAGCACCTGAGTAATTTTGTACGCAATTTGGGACGGCAGCTCATCCGTCGGTTCTGGCTTGATAAATATGTCACACTTAAATGAACAACCAAGGTGATTTACCTGCGGGGAGAAAAGCAAATTATATTTCCAAGAGGAAAGGCCTGCACAAACCTAATACTTAAAAAAATCAAAACCTCTTACTCATGTTGCCAGCGATAAAATGCGAATTGGCACCTGAGTCATTTACACCACTTCCCTCCCTGAGCACGCTATTTGTAAAGTGGAGAGGGACTTTTTATAAGGGCATGTGGTGATAGGACAAGGGGTAATACTTTCCAAGAGGAAAAGCCTGCACAAACCTAATACTTAAAAAAATCAAAACCTCTTACTCATGTTGCCAGCGATAAAATGCGAATTGGCACCTGAGTCATTTACACCACTTCCCTCCCTGAGCACGCTATTTGTAAAGTGGAGAGGGACTTTTTATAAGGGCATGTGGTGATAGGACAAGGGGTAATGGCTCCAAAGTGGAAGGGGGGAGATTTAGATTAGATATTAGGAAGCAATTTTTCACTCTGAGAGTGATGAGACAGCGGCCCAGGTCGCCCAGAGAAGCTGTGGCTGCCCCATCCCTGGAGGGGTTCAAGGCCAGGCTGGATGGGGCTTGGAGCAACCTGGTCTGGTGGGAGGTGTCCCTGCCCAGGGCAGGGGGTTGGAACTGGATGATCTTTAAGGTCCCTTCCAACCCAAACCGCTCCATGATTCTATGATTTCATTTGCCACATGTTTACTTTTCTTGATCTGTTTACCTGCAACACTGGCTCTCGATATGGGCAGCTTCACTTCAGAGCTACGTAAGTTTCATTTCCTATTTCTCCCCCATCATCACATCTAAAGTCAATAACCACAAAAAACAAATGCTTTAAATGAAACCAGTACACCAAAAATTGCACTGTGCTTTTGGAGAGCCCGGGGTGGTGCTTGATCTGCAAGAGGCCTGGCTTGGTACTGTCACCATAATGGCAAAGAATAAGATAAACAGGTATAAACCACTCTTTTCTTGCACTTGCTGCATGTTGTCAACAGAGTGTTTGACAAAGTACAAAATACAGAATAAATCACAGCGAAGTAAAACTGACCAGGCGTAACACGGGCTGATAGTCCATGGTGTTTTCTGAGGCAAATTTCAGCTAATTTTCTCCCAGTTTACAAAGAGAAGCTTTTGTTTTCTTATGTCTTTGAGCTGCTGCACTCAGCCAGGTGAATCCAGAGCCCCCGAGGGGTCTGTGTTCCTCCGGAGGCTGCTTCAGTTTACCAAGGACCTGGCAAGGGGGGTGTCAGCGAGAGCATCCCAGGCATCTGCTCCCAGCTCCTGCAAGGTGTGGGCCAGCAGAAACAGCATCTCTGACTGTTTTTGGCTGGAAAACTCAGTGTAGAGCAGGTTCCTTCTTTCTTAGAGTGCCAGCAGAGCTGCTGTCACCTCTGCATTGCCCTCGTGAAGTAGTGCAGGGGTGCGAGGTGCACAGCTGGGTCTCACACTGCAACTGGCCCTCACTTCTGCTTGACTACAGACTCCATCCCCTTTGTAGCCATGAGTCCTTTTTCAGGCTGATTTTTGTTCCTCCCTGGTCTTGGTGGGGAACTACGAGAGGAAGAAGTTTGCTTTCTCGGTTCTTTTCTAGCACCTGAGGTGGTTGCTTTTTTTTTTTTAAAAAGACAGCTTGCTTTGAAAACACGGAGCAAAGGGAGAAGCATTTTGTGCCCTGTTCGGTTGGCTGTAACGTATATCTTCTATGGTGTCTACATTTCTACAGCTTTCAAAATCATAAACTAACTCGGCCAAAGGCAGTCCATGATAAGAGAGATGTAATTTATTGTAATACATGGCTTGCTGTTCATTATTAACTCTCCCCAGTCACAGTGGTGTTTGGAAGTGCAGTGACGGCCATCGCTAGGGCAACATTTTTCAAGATTTAATTGTCTAGCTATTTGTCTGGGCTTACAGATAAGATAGTCAACTATTGTGGTTTATCGTCTCTCAAGCAATTACTTGTGGGTCTCTAATTGAAAGCTGTGAGTGGGGCTCAGGATGTGCTTTGAAAACCGTTCAGCTACAAAGCCATGCCCCTGCAATCCTCCTGCAGGTACAACCCACCAGCAGGAACGGCTCGGGAAGGTGGCTGGACCTGGTCCCAAGGACTCTGTCAGACAGATGTTTTTTTCCTTCCTACTTGTGGCGTGGTCATTAAATCACTGCAAAGCGATTGTAACATTATATCTGTCTGATTTGATTTCATAGTGAGTGGAAAGAGCAGGCCCTACATGTGCAATTTAGGTAAATAATTCCAGGTAGCATGAATGTTAGACTGCAGCTTGTGAGCTTGTTTTAACTAGAGTTGACTGACTGCCAATTAATTCAAGGTCGGTAAGATTATTGTAAAAGCTAAGCTAGAAGCTCCACAAAATATGTGTTTATTTCTGACACGTTTAGGCTAGGGTTTACAATTGTATTCGTTAATTTGAGCTAATTGGCAATTGGTGATCAATCAGCTGGAAAACCCAGGATCACCCACTCCCGTCTAGACGGAACGAAAGTCTCACAAAGTACATCCTGGATTTAAAGTAGTTATTTTTGTCATGCATTCATCACAGAAGGAGAACTGGAAGGCTAAGTGCTCTGCTCCCAAATGCGAATTTCCCTTTTGCCCACCTCCCCCTCTTTGAAAGGAGGCACAAGTCGATGTGGTCCTCCCTCCAACCCTGACTCCCTCCCTCGGCTGCCTCCCGCCTCCCGGCTGCGTCGCTCACGGAGCAACACCCTCCTGCTAAAGGTTTCCTCCTACGTCAATTATCAAGCACTCCTGGAAACACAGAGGGCTTTACATCAACGGCGGCGATGGATTTACGCACAGAGCTTCTCGGTAACAAGGGAAACACACGGGGGAATGGGAGAGGAACTGGATGTTTGGAATCGAGGACAGGAGGAGATGTTTAAAAGCTGGCCTCGCAGGAAACCTTCCCCAACGTACGTTCCTGGCTGGAAAGGGGTTAGTAATTATCAAGTCTCTGAAACCTTGGCAGTTCACATCTGTCGAGGTTCAGGCCACCTGGAGGTGGAACCACAGAAACACTCAGCGACGAACCCTTAACCCAAGGATGCCCACCTGACGGATCCTACTGGGGATAGCATTTCCACACACAAGTAAACATTTTAATGCTTTATTCCATTCTCCTTCGGGCTAAACCAGAGGTCTGATAACTTCTCTGAGCACAAACACGAGACTTCTGCACCTTGTTTTGTGTAAGAGCTTTCCCAGCCTCAGGGAGTTTATATTTGGGGAGAGAAGGCAGGTGTCATCTGCTGACAGCAGCCCCCCTACAGCCTTTGATGCTGGGAGATTTTACTGAGGTTGGCCCCGGTCCTACTCGTGCTCCAGCCTGTTTAGCCTTGATGTGCATCAGGAATTCCTCCTTATCAGGCCATAAAAGACTTTTGGTGCCAACCGCAGCAAGACCCAAAGTGTTTACATTATGCACTATCTTAGACACAGTGATGCCTAAAAATTAGGTGGCTGAGCCCAGAAGAGAAATTCCTTGGTTCTTCAAGGAATTTTAGACTTGCCTGATTTTAGACGACCCACCTCTTGAGTTTTGTGACTCCTACTACTATTACTGCTGCCTCCAGGGCACCTGAATTTCCAACAGGGCTTTATCCTGGTTTATGGTGAAGGGGAGGACTGACCAGTTTTCTGGCCGAGTCTGAGCATTGCATCTTGTTTACCCTTTTCCTCTTGCTGTCCCAAATCCTGGAACTGTTCCACAGCCCTGAGATGAGTATCTTTCATGGCTCTGGTGTTTTGGGTGGAAGCTTGAGCACTTGTGGTTGATGCCTACAGATAGTCATCCTGGTCCTCCTCTTCTCCAGTGGGAAACACCCCCAAGAAACAGAGGGTGCTACTGCCTCCCTACTGTGGGAGAGGCTTTTCTCCATTCTCCTCCTTCCTCTGTTAAAAGCTTGGAGCAACCCCGGAGAACAATGGAGCTCCTTGGGGCATTGGTCTCTGTTAGACCATCTTTCATACCGTCGCAGAGTCTTGTTTATCTTTTTTTAAACAGAGCGCTTGCTTCCCTTTCCTTCTCATGGGAATTGCTTCCTCCTGGCCTTCTTGCAGCTCAAACTTCTGGAGGGTTTACAAACGGGTCTATATTTAGCTCTTGCGTCCCCACTTATCCAGCAGAAGGACACATGGCACCTGCTCTGCAGCCAGGAGTTATTTTAAGCACTTCTAAAATGGGCAACGGCATTTAGCTCTTTATGCTCAAAATTGACATGCACACACACACAAACAATTCTCTAAAACAAAGTGTTCCATATACTCACACCAGCCAGCATATGCCGAGAAAAATCAGAATTTTTACCCCGACATAACACCAGATTGAACTACAGCAACACCTCAAAGCAGCATGTATTAAACTCTGGAATGGCCCACACTACTGCAGCTCCAATTACCCTCCAGAAAAATATGAGTGCCTTATTATAGCCTAGACACTGCCCTATGTATTACTTCAGAAAGCGCTGACAAAAATCAGCTTTATCAACCACACGCTACATTTGAACAGCTTTATGATTTATGCATCATTTTCTAGTACAAAACTGAACGAAAGTTTGGAGGCTTCGTGGCTGGTTTCCATACGAGCATGGAAAGAACCAGATTTGGAGACTTTCTGAAGTCTCATGCGGCACTTGAGTCTTGACCTCTTATTGTGGTAGCAAACCAGCCATGGCCCCTAGAATCACTTAAAGGCAAGTTTGACCAAAGTCAACTTAATTTTTATCACTCTTTAGAGAAGCATTTCTTACTTTCACCAACAGCCTTAGATACTTGACTGTTTTCCACACACATCATACGGTGCCCAGGATTTAAAAGCAATTCCTAGAAAACGTGGGCTGACAGTCCCGAAGGGAAGAACTTAGACTAAAGCCCTTGCACTGTGCCACCAAGCAGGGAGAGCAAGGAAACTGTTTGTCAGACTTACCGGAGGAAAGAGAAGAGCTGAGTGGAGGGAAAAAAACCCCACAGTCGGGCAGAAAGCTCAGAGAAGGGCACGCCGGCAGCAGGACACTGGTACTGTAACCCTGCCACCGAGAGAAGAGGGATGGGATGACCAAGGGAAGGGGGGGGAAGGACAGAATGACACAGCAGGAGCAAACACCACGGAGACTGACCGGGGGGGACCGGCTCTGATAGGCGAGCAGGGAGGCTGCCTGCTGGCTGGCAGTGTAAACCAGATATGTTGGCTATTCCCTGCCCCCGACAGAGATAGCACCAGATCAGGCCCTCAGAAAGAGAAAACCCAGGAAGGATTCACACACAGCTGCTACCCTTGAAAATTAAGTCTTAATGACTTGACAGGCTCTGCGTGAAATTTGTCTATATTGACTACGGATTGGTCAAACTAAAGTCTGTTTTTTTGTGTCTACGCTACGGCTTTCCACAATGGGAGCTCGCAGCTGTGACTGCCCTTTGCAGCCTGGGATTTGGTCAGGATTTGTTAAAAACCAGACTGATGCTTAATCATGACTAACTGGCTGGAAGGGACCACAGGAGGTCTTTAGTTCAACCTCTTGCTCAAAGCAAGCTCAGCTGTGAGCTTTGACCAGGTCTCTCAAGGGCTTTATATTAGTCTTAAAAACCTCTGAGGATGGAGAGTGCATAGTTTCTTTGGAAACCTGTTCTCCTGCCTGCCTGTCCTCGTGGTGAAAAAGTTTCTCCTTATACCTAGCCTGAACTTCCCTCATTTCAGCTTCTGCCCATTGCCTCTTGTCCTCCCACCTTACACCCCTATGAAGCGCCAGGCCCTGTCTTCTTGATGATCTCCTCGTAGGTGCTGTGGGGCTGGAGTTAGGGACCCCCAGAGTTGTCTCTTCTCCAGCTGAACATCTCACTTCCCCCAATCTCTCCTCATGGGACGAGTGCTCCAGCCATTGTGGTGCCCCTCCAGTGAATTGACCAGCTTCTTCCATGGGGGCACCGAGACTAATGGAGGTGGCTGGTGTAGCTCTCCTGCTGATCCCAGGAGCTTTCAAACAAATAGTGATAGGATGAAAGGTAACAGTTTTAAACTGAGAGAGTAGAGATTTAGATTAGATCTTAGGAACAAATTGTTTCCTGTGGGGATGGTGGGAGACCGGAACAGGTTGCCCAGAGAAGCTGTGGCGGATCTTAGGAACAAATTGTTTCCTGTAGGGACAGTGGGAGACCAGAACAGGTAGTCCAGAAAAGTTGTGGGTGTCCCATCCCTGGAGGTGTTCAAGGCCAGGCTGGATGAGGCTTTGAGCAACCTGGTCTGGGGGGTCGGAACTCGATGATCTTTAAGGTCCCTTCCAACCCAAACTATTCTATGATTCTATGAAATGTTCTTGTTGCTGCCAAGGTACTTCCATGAAATGTTCTTGTTGCTGCCAAGGTAACCATATGCTGGCTCACATTGGCCCAAAGTTGTTTATACAAAAAGCAGAGGACTCCCCAGAGAGCTCAGCTGCATGGTGTTTGTCCAGTGACCAACATCTCCCACTGCTGTGACCCACAAGCCACTCAGGCAGCATCTTGAGATGCCAGATGGCCCCAGGACCGTCTGCTGCCCACTCTCTAGGGAGAGATGTAGGTCAGTTTAACGCACAAATATGCAAACGACTGAGAAGCAATAGGCTGGTACTGGAAGTGGCAGCCAGTGCTTTGAGAAGTGGGACTTTGGCTCCAGTGAAAAATAATAAGGCTCACAACAACATTAGGAGGAGAAACACATGTGTGGTACAATGTTTTGGAGTAAGCCCTCAAATGGACCCATTGTTGTGTGGGACTAGAGAATCCAGAAGTGTTTTGCACCTGATTTATGAGGGATATAAGAGAAAACAGTACTGGGCAGCTCAGTATCAAGAAGTACTGGCTCAGAAATAGTCCATATGTTAGCAGCATCCCAGGCTGTCACTGGAAAGGGCTAAAGGTCCTGCTATATGTGTGAAGATAGTGTCTGTGGGGCAGAGGGAACATACTTGGAGCAGTTCCTCATTAATCTTATTTATCTACTTTGAAAAGGCAGCTCATATTATCTGGGAATGCCTGGGTAGAGTGGCTTAAGGAAAAATCAGTTCTTTGAATCTTCTCCAGGCACCGGTGGTGGCTCAGTAGTGCTCCTAAGAAAGTCATAGATTTAAGCATAATGAAAGGCAGCTTGCAAGGTGGTGGGATCCTTCTGCAAATCTTTTGGATGGAGTTGGAAACCTGCTGGACGTGTTTTGAGAGAAGATAAAGCTCTGGGGTTGTTTGTGACAGGGCAGAGCGAGCCAGCAGAATACCAGTGAAGATAAGAGTGCTTGTGTGGGCTCCTCGTGCTCCTCCTGTTTTGACTGGAGAATTCTCCCGTTCCAGTCCCCTGTTCATTTTTTCTTTTGAAAGAAAATCAGCTCCAGGGTTTCCGAGATCAAAATGCACAAGTGAGCTACCAAGGAGCTAAGCAGCAGCTGAGTCGCAGAAAATTACTCCGGCGTATCCTGGCTCCTTGGCAAACACAAGGCAAGACCATGTTCAGCTTCGCCCTCTTTTCAGCGGGGTTAAAGCTATTATGTGTTAGCTCCTTTCTGCCACAGACTGACAGCAGGCACACGGACCCTCATGGCAGCTCAAATGACACGCAAGGGTTCACTCGGCGGTGGGAATCTGCTCACGTCCTTGAGACACCAGGACGTACTGATAACAGCAAATTAGCTGGGGTCATCCTTATAAAAATTAGCTACAAGATATCCAAAGCTCCATGTTCTGAATTGTAAAGAAAACAGTCTTCTGGTCCAGTTCAGGGGTCACAAAGGAGCAGATAAAATCAGTGTTCCTGAGTACGTGGGGGGGTGCGTGTGTGTAGCTCCACAGAGGATTTTAAGGGATCTGCTGGATTTTGGCCAGTGAATTGAAACAACCACCTTAAGAATGGAAAGGGAAACTCTGAGAAATTTAGAGCAGAGTGTTGAATTTGCATGCAGAGGACGGGTGACAGACTGGCATTCGGACTCTGCATGCTGGGATGGTTGCATCTGGTGAGCCGAGGAGAGAGCTGGCTGAAAACACCCTCTGTGAAACCTGAACCACTTCTGAGGCTTCTGCTTTTGAAGTGCTTTGAGCATTTCACGTCCATATTTAGGGGAAAAGAAAGAAACACTTCCTCTAATCCACGAGAAAGAGGATAAAAGTAGTTTTGCCTTTTTTTTAAAATTATTTTTTTACCAGAGTTAGGTTGATGGTTGGACTAGACGATCTTAAAGGTCCCTCCCAACCTAGACAATTCTATGGGTCTATGATTCCTTATAGACGGGATAGACCACTCCTTGAGGATTTGCTGTCACAAGGCTGGAGTTATTTTTCGGTTGTGAGCTGGATTACACAGCCACAACCCTGCACCCTCTTTGTTGTACAGTGGCATTTCCACTTGTCATTGGTAATGTTACACAGAAATTGCCTGTTTCTGGCTTAAATATAATCACCATCAGCATACATCTATTGAAGACATAGGCTTCCTGGGGAAAAAAAAAATAGAAGATAATGAGTAAATTTCTACCTATACTTATCATTTGCTTTATATGATATTCTACACATTCAGCCTTACCAAACAGAAGGACAAGTTCATTATTAAGTCAATGCTTTTGGGGTTTCTTCCTATCTTTTTCTGACATATTTTTTCCTTTCTTTCCCCAAACCATTTTCCTCAACTGCAACATGCAGCTCTCACCTGCTCTTCTCCCCTCATCCAGTGCTCATGTCATTAGCTTGAAACAGTTGCTTTTGGGGTTTTTGTGTATTCTTTTTGTGTGTCATGAGAAGGTTTAGGTGAAAGACTGCCAGTTCAAGTTCAGAGTCTCTCTCTCAAACGCTCAAGGGCTTTAAAAAAACGCAGACTGTGTCTGAAGGCAACGCTGTGTTGGTTGACATTACTTTTAAAAGTTTTGAGGGTTTCTTTTTCAGCCCAAGCAATGGCAAGCCTTAATTCCTCTTCCACCTAAATGAAAGCTCAGTTTCTGCAGAAGCCCTAATATCCCCTGGAAGCCACACAGACTGATTTGGCCTGCAGGGCAGTCCCCTAGCAGAAGGTGAAGAGGCTGGGGAGGGCCTCCTGCCTCTGCACGGGCCAGAAAAGAACTGTCTGCACCCCTTGGCAAATTGCAGCTCCTCTGCCCCATGAGATCCCACTGGACAGCAGCACAAGAAAATCTGGAGACAACCATTCCTGGTCTTCTCATACATGGGGATGGAGAGGGCAGTGGACTGCCATGGTCTGCCACTTCAGTGTCAGATCCCTATCAGTGAGAGCATCATTTTTGGATTTTAGCAGGGAAACCCTACTAAGAAGCTGGACGAGTTCTTCAGGGCTTTCCTGCTGAACAGATTTTGGTTTATTTTTGGGAAGATACAAGTCTTTCAAGTTATGTTGTACCTGGGCAGAACCAATTTCCGTAATACCATTATTTCAGTCAATTATATTGGAAATAAAATTGATCCATTCTGCTTAAATACGTACCATAATATGTTTATTCCAATACATAATTATATAATATAACATGATAATCATAGACTGGTTAGAGTTGGAAGGGACCTTAAAGATCATTCAGTTCCAACCCCCCTGCCCTGGGCAGGGACACCTCCCACCAGACCAGGTTGCTCCAAGCCCCATCCAGCCTGGCCTTGAACCCCTCCAGGGATGGGGCAGCCACAAGCAGGCATGTTAAGACACATAGTGAAAGTATAGCATTTATTAAGAACTTTAAAATGCCTGTAATGTAAAATGTATAATTACAATTTAGAAAGAGCCCTCATAAAGGTGTTGAGACACAGAACCATGGATGTGTGTGAGCAGTGGTCAAAAAGTCAGAAGATGCTGAGTCTGGCAGCATTTCCCAGCTGGGGGCAGCTGAACCAGTGTTGGGAGGAGTCCTGAGAGGTCCCAATGCAAGGTCTGTCAAGACGGGTCTCCACTGGGTTTAATTTTCTCCTATAGAAGTATCATAAACACCTGGATCAATCAGAAATTTTGCAAGGTGACCTCTTGGGAATCATTTCTCTCTTGCTTAGACCTGTGTCAATGAAAAAGAAAAGGGGAAAAAAAAAAAAAACCCACACCATATTTGCATTTATTTGCATACACAAAGCAGGTGTGCCACACTGCATCAATTTTCTACAGATTTCCTAGCTCCAG